GAGCCTGCCAAGGAAGATCCGACGCTGACAGCCGAGCTACGCAGCCCCAAAGCGGCTCTCACCCAGTTGCACCTACCACTACACGGACGCAACGTGTGGAGGACCTACTGGGCGCGGTCGAATCCCTGATCGCCTTGTGCCAGGGGTCACCTCAATTCTGCACTGAGGGCGAAGCCTTTCGTGTCTGCTTCACACCACTGCTTGCTGTGTCCGTGGCATTGGCCCAGTTTTGTGATCCAGTCCTGCGCTTAGCGGAAGAGCAGGTTTTCGACCTGTCCTGGTACGAGCTGGCCCAGCCGGAGATTTGGTGGTGGCTGCTCCTTGACAAGTCGGGGCTCAAAAGCTCTCTCCGGAAATCCCCTGTACGCGATGGCAGCCTTATCCAGATGTCTCTGGCTCCCAAGCGCGACCCTACTGCAACGTCAGACCTGCAGGCCTGTCCTTCCCGTTTTCTGAACTTTGTCCCAAAAAGAGTACCCAGTACTTAAAACAGTTTGGCCAGTACTTTCGTCTTTTTGTACTTAGTATGCTTTTTTTTGACAGTTGCTCATGGTTCAGTGTAAAAATAAGAATTGGTGAGATTTTGTACAGTGTTAGTTTTCAGCATAACATCTGCGGTTTCGTGGGTGTATCTGTCAATATTTGACAGCGTTTTGGCCACTACCGACGAAAATCTACAACGTAGGCCTGCGAAAGGTTGCCGAGGACAACAAGGGTACCCCGCTTCTGCATTGTGGAGTACTGATGCCGGTGCAACTACTCTTTTTCCTGAACCATTCGTTGACCGACGACCCATCGTCTGCCCCGCTCCTGCAACTCGCCAGTGTCAAAGCGTTGCTTCTTCTTCAAAAGTTGGTCGCCCAGGAGGAAGGTGCACACAAGCTCTGCCTGATGGCATGCGCCCAAGGTTCCGGCTAGGTTGGAAGGCGGCGGCAGATGAGTTCCTCAGAGAAGGGGGTTTCGGGCCCGGCCTCCAACTGCCCTGCATTCGTCCCGACCAGTCACGCCGTGTGGAGCCACCGGGACACACCGATGTTCGTTCTCAGTGACACGGATTGGTTTTCCCCCTTGCCGGCCGTATGCCCGGGGGGAGACACTGGGACATCTGCCTGCGTGGCGGTGTCCACGCTGGGTCCTCAATGCGGCGGGTTGCAAGGATCCGGCCAACGCCATTTCTCGCGCTACCTGGTGGATTCCTTGTTAAGGCCTTGTTGCACTTGCCAAGCAGCCGGGACGCGTGGATGCTGGACTCAGCACGGCCAGATACCATGACCTCGGCTGTCTGGGGCGACCCAATTGGCTTCCCCCATGCATTGCATCGACGCACACACTCCGTGTGCGCTCAGACTGCACACCTGCCGATTTTGACTTTGCGCAGTGCAGAGAAAGGGGGGGAACCTTGGCCGCCCTGTTCCGTGGTTGCGGCACGCCCGCAAGTTGTCCTTGAACACAGTTGGTGCAGCTGTCATCAAGCGGGTTCTCTTCCTCACCCGCCCCCGGTCGAAGCCGCTTCTCAACCGCGTCTTCATATCCAATTGCTGGACCTTGGCTGCAGTTGCTGCAGTAAACAAGTCCTCGTCCGAACCAGGATGCCCAAGGCCCCTTTTTTGGATCAGGCCCAGAAAAGCCTATGACAATGATCTCCGTGCCGTCATAGTCTTCGCTGTCGTTACGAATGCAAATAGATCCGAGACTAGGTGCAGCTTTCATGGCATCGGCAACCTGCTTTGCAGCTGCGGGCGCGTCGTCCATGTGCCCAGCTTCCCTGCGCGTCTCGAGTCCAGCCGCCATGCCGAGCGGACACCTGGACAAACGAGCAGGGCAAAACAACAAGGGTTGGAATGGAATGAGCCACTGCACGGAGGATTGCGCCGGGTGCAAGCTCGCAAGCCACCAGCATCAGGTCGCGGCAGGGGCCCGTCCCATCCGAGCAGCCGCACCGTCTTGCCTTGGCCCAAGCCTCGTCAGGGGCGACCCGTTGCCGTTCTTGGAACGTTCCTGAGTTGCACTGTGCTGGGTCTCGACGCACAACATGTTTCCCTACGGCCCGCATCCTGGCCTGGCCACACGCTTTGTGGGCGGCGATTGGCGGCGTTGGACGCCGGCATCCAATTCGCCACTGTTGCACACCGTGATTCGATTAGTCTCGTCCTCGGCGTGCGGTCGCAGCTGGCCGGCTTTGAGTCGCAACGACTCTGGCTCCACATCATGTCTAGAGTCTAGAAGCCGCTCGCCGCGGTGGGCGTTGGACTTTTGGATTTTGGTGTGCCCGATCGTGATGAAACAAAGCACAGGGGCTGTCCGTTGTCTGTCGAGACTAGAACGGCTGCCGGAGCTTGGATTTGGCTCCACCTGCTGCTTTGGGCGGCTCAGAGCGACGGCTCTTTGTTGCTTCGGATCGGTCGCTGAGGCTTCGTAGTTTGCTGAACGGCTCCCACCGGCAAAGCCTGTGCGCCGCAGCTTGCAGAGCTTCGCTTTTGTCTCACTGTTTTGTAGTTCCGTGCTTTGTAGTTTGTTAGTTTGCTTGTAGGGACCGAGTGCTACAGCCGTAGTCGACGAGGCCCGTTCACGCCAAAAAAAACTGCAGATCCAGGATGCTTTGCTTCGGTGCAGCTGGTTACCATTCCGAAGAAGGCCAACTGGGAGACACTACTTCTTTTTTAGAAGATTGAACAATTCCTGCTGGCTAGGTCTGCAAGTTGCGACCTATTTCACCCAAGATTCCTTTCTGTACAGTTCTTCACTGTCTTCTTGTTCATTCACTTCTTACTGGAACCGAGTGCAACAGCTATAGATGAGACCCGCCCACGCCAAAAGTCAAGACTCCGGCCGCCGTTCTGGTTCCGTCGAACAACGGTCAGCTTCGAGGTCCTGTTGTGTCACAATCGTGCACGCAAAATCCACAAGTCCATGGAGCCGACAACGTGGCAAAGGCCAGGGAAGAAGACCCTTCGACGTGTATCGATAGTCATGGACAAAGAGCTGGCTGATTGGTCCAGTCTCTTAGCAAGCTCCAAAAAAATCCTGTAAAAGAAAGCAGAGTCATCCATATGAACGTCGTCAAGATGTTTTAAGTCCAATCATCCGCGTCTTGGCGCTTCTTCAGTTCCTGTGTGTTGTAGTAGTAGAGGGGTGTTTCTTGTGGAGAAACCAGTCGGAAGCCCAAGAACTGATAAGTTAGGCCCTGGCAGCAGCAACCCAGTCGTCAATACGTAGATTCTGGAAAGTGTGCGGCGGGTAGTTGCTAGAGTCTCCCCAGTTCACGGTATGACTCAGCAAATAGAACCGTTTGGGGTTCCATGGTGATCCGCTAGTCGGCGCACCACAAGCAGCAGTACCTAGATGGAAAATAGGGTTCTGCAATATTGCAGTGGGGAAACACGTCTACCTGAACCACCAAGAGCCATCTACCATTCCTAGCCATGGTGGTGTCTTCTCCAGTATGGCGCCTTGGTTGGAGCTGGTACGCGTAGCTCTCCTCCTTTCTGCCCGGATATAATCAAGAATGCTCATGCTTCTGTGCAGCTGGTTACCGCTCCGAAGAAGGCCAACTGTGTGCCTCATGTCCATAGATGTACGTGCATGTCGCTGCCGCTGGTCGGGAAATAAGATTGCCGCAGAAGGTAAAGCAGTTGGAACTGGCCCTCAGTACCATGTGTGTTCGCGCGCATGAGACGACTTGCCTGCCAGCATTGCAGTAGGCTGTGGCAGGGAAGCTCAGTCGGCGTGCGTGCTCCTCATCGCTGTTTGGTTCGGCCAACCAACTTGTCAGCCGTAATTTTCGGATGTTTTATTCAAGATGACTCAGTCAAAGCAGTGAGCTCACAGTTAAAGCAGTGAAAGCTCGCATTTTTGTCATCCCAAATTCTTGTGGAGTTTTGGATTTCTTGGATCCATTCTCGTCTTTCGCAAAAAATGTTTTTGCCGTTGTTGTTTTTTTTTCTCGTTGTTGCTTTGTGGCGTCTGCTTGATAGCTCCTAAATTTCCTTTGCAAAGATTTTTTCTGCATCAAAAAATGCACACTCGAGATGGCTTTGCATCTTAGAGGCGTTCAGAATGAAGTTGCTTCAACTTCAAGTCGGAAAATGATGCGTTCATTCGATCTTCCTCTGGCCCGCTGACATCTTGGCACGTGAATGGCAAGCGCAATCTCATTTGTTCTTCTGGGTGCTTTTTGGCTTTCGCAGTCGTTTAGCTTGTTCGTTGTTCCGCATGTTCACTTGGAAAGAAAGTTTAGTTTGAGATTCAGGTATGTTTGTTTGCACAAGTTTGATTCCTTTCGAGCTGCTTGTCTTCCCTTTTTGTTACTCTCTGACAATCTGCGTGAATCAGAACATCAACACAAACATGGCATGGTTCGAAATCACGATGACTGGATGACAGGTCCTGGCATGTTTCAATATTTGTGCAGACGCATTGTAGGCCTCAAATGGCAGTTTGCTTATTTTTGAGCCGTTGCTGCCAAGTGAATAAGTACGGCTTTCCGTTGTAGTTTTTTCAGGCGTGAGGTTGCACCCGAGCACGACATTTGATGTTGTGGGGACAGGGTTGTTCGACATCATGTATTGTGCGTCTGTGCGTGATGCAAACTCCAAGGCAATCCATGTCGGGGCAACGTTTCACTCGAGAGTTTTCTTTGTCAGCCGTCTGCATGAGCTTACGACGCGAGGGACAGATACAGTAGACCACTTCGCTTAATCGCGTGCCACAAATTCTACGTGCTTTGTTGTGTTCTTGAACTTGACAGCTCTTTCTTGCGGGAAAGTCCCCCATGTTTGTTTCGAACAACGAATATATCGTTGAGGGAATAGTGCCATTCCAGCCAACATCCGGCTCAAATGGACGATGTTCCACTTACCCACATCGCCTACACCGGGTGAAATGTGTTGTCACGAGTGCCAAGTCTGTCGTGCAGTTGTCGCTAACAAGTTAAGCTGTTCATGGCAAAACAAAGGAGCCCACTTAGTCTGTAGAGTGAAACAGCCTGAGTGTATATTCGCATGCATTTGTTACAAGTAGGAAAGGCTGCGAACATGGCGGGAAACAAATATGGGCTGGCAGTTGCCTTTGGGACCGGAAGTTTCTCTTTCGCTGCGCGCAGTTTTCTGATTCTCAGGTTGGTTTGCTGTGTCTACAAGCCCTAGTTCCACTTGAAGGCAGCCCAACGCATGGACATGCGGCATACAAGGCCAGTAAACTGTGGCCGAAGTGACCTGAAAATGGGCTGCTCTGCCAGGCTTCTTTGCAACACCATTCTTTTGCCGTGCCGTCGCGAACTTAGGTTTTACCAATGTTGGTCATGCATGCTGGGTTGCGCAGCGGTTTGGGACGCGCAGTTGGTCAGGCTGGAGTATTCCATGCTGCTTAGCGACTGGGTGCTGAGCGGCGCTAGCATCTTCGAAAGGCCAGCAGACGTGCTTAAAAAAACCGGATGGCATTCACGGTCATGTCAATGCCAGGGAACGCTTGCTGCTGCACCCCGCAGTATCTGAACGCTGTGGGCTAAGACGACATTATATCTGCTGCCTTCGAAACATTGAGAGAATCTGCCAGGCCAAGGCTTTGCCTGGAACAAGCAGCCACTTCAGACCAACAATTTCGAGGTTTTCTCAGCACCCTTGGAAACATCAGTCTTTGTATGCCTCGTGTTCGTGCAGGCTAGCTTTTCATTTCGTGCTTCTGGAGCTGGAGATCCTTCGAAGGCTTCGTCATGCCGCAGACGTGTAGACTGCTGAAGCCGGAAGCAGTCACACTTGGAACACTGTTGCAGGTCGTGGATGACCAAAGCTTTGCTTTCTGGTTTGTCCGGCAGAACATATCTGGTGATTTCAACGAATCTGCTGCCATCCGTGCACGGAGACTTAGAACCTGAGCCACCGTTTTGGACTCACAGAAGCTTTCTGCAACGCAATGCACATGCAATCAGTGTCTCATGTACCTTAGGCCTCTTCTTGGTCGGAGGGCCTGAAGGAGCTGGGTTACACTTTGACGGGCTCCAAGGCGGCACGGCTTGCAGCGACTTTTGCACCACTTTCAACATCAATTCACGACTGAGCAGGCGCTTTTTGAAGGCATCGGAGCTGCCGGGCCCACGGTGAGATTCTTCACGCAGTGCAAGAAGAGTCTTGTTGGCCAGGTTTTTTCGACAGCAAACCTCGCAAAGAAGCCAGGGTCGGTCGTGTCATTCATCAGCTGCTGTCTCAGACGGCTGTGGACATTGCTTGCTTGTCGTGCCCTGGACATGTCCTGCAAAGGCAACGACAACCATCAAAGTCTGGGGTATGGCATCGACGTGCCCACAAGCAATGCCAAGGACCCGTGGTCACGGCTAGAACGTTCATTCATGTGAAGCATTGTCACTGTCAAGTGTCCCGAGATCGGTGCCTGCACTTATGCTCAGGCAATCGATTTCAGAAACAAGGACGTTGAGTTCAAGATTCGGGTGCAGCCCGTGTCGGTGCAGGCACGATTTCTCAAGTGTCGAGATGTCCCGTGCTCCAATCAACATGTTGTCAGCACCCTTCGTCTCGGAACGAGCATGCGCCAGGGCCAGATCACTGTTGATGGCAAAACCGAAGAATGCTTCAACGTAGATCGAAAGAACTTTCCTGTGAAGGCCGCCTCCTCATATTTCCCTCTGGTCATGCTGTGTGGCTGCTAGGATTCCAGACATATGCATTTTGCTATCGGACTTACAGCTGAGGCAGGCGGCTACATCGGCTTTACAGCTTGGAGTGGTCGCTTGATTGCATCTACCGTTGTTTTGGACTGTTTGCTGGGTTTCTGTTGAAGTTCCAGGCTGAGCTTGCCTGACCTTCTGTGACCCTTTATTGAAGAAATCTCACAGACACTTGACATCAAGCTTGCTAGGACACCTGCAGGACTCGAGACTAAGCCTGCTTCAGCATGGAGGAGCAATGACGACGGCCAGGTGCAAACACGCAGGAGAACAGAGGAAGAGGAGGCTCCAAGCCCTCGGAGTGCAAGTCCTACAGGGTGGAGTGTGTGAGTCATGCCAAAGATCTTGCAGACACTTGGCATCAAGCTTAACAGGATACCTGAAGGACATAAGAAGGAGTAGCTATACTTCTTGTGTCCTGCGTTTGTCCCATAAAGCTGGATGTCAAGTGTCTGCGAGATAGTGACGACCCGGGCAGCTTCCTTACGCGCTGCTTTAGACACGACGCCCCACAAGCAGCTTTGCTTGCGAAAATCCAGATCAGCTGAACAAACGGCCCCAACAGCACATGAGGCTCCCTGCTGTCGCTGCTTGGATTTAGTCAATTTAGTCTTTAGTTCTGTTTTCCCCCACTTGCTCTCCACTCTCCCTCCACTCGCGCCGCCATTCCGCGCTCCCTTCCGTCCACTCCACACTCGGGGCATAGTAGGTTGGCAACACAAGTCCAGCTCTTGTCGGAAGGTTCAGCAGAACCCACCAAATCTCCGGATGGCGTGTCACTGACAAAGGCTGCGTGCCTGGGTGCCATCAATGAGTAGTAAAGTGATATGGGGCTTCCTGCAGGTGCAGGTGGTGAACTTCGATGACCAGGCCCTCTTTATGCAATCTTTCTCACACCTGGCACTTGCATGCCTCCTCGCTTTCGCTATGGAGTTCGCCTTAAAGGAACTAGCTCTCGACCTTTCGAGTTGCTGTCCAGGCAGTCGGTGAAGACATCATGGGGACCAGTGCCAAGGATAAGATTGCGTGCTCCAGAATGACATGAAGACCATGATTCACAAAATGGCAGTTGCACAGCAAGCATTGCCACTTGATGGTGGGAGGTACGAAGCGTTGATGTCAGAGGATTCGAGATACTTCCAGGACCAGCAAGCACAGACGGAGCACATCGGAAGAATAACATCAATGCCTGGCTCTCTGTCGATTCTTGCAATCGTCTCTTTACTCTTATGAAGACATTCAGTCGTTGGACGGAGGTTGTCTGCACATCTGAATGAGACTAAGCCGCATCCCCAGGGCCGAGCCCGAGCGCACTTGCGTCGTTGAGACGTGTTTGCTGCCAGGCCGACGTACGATGTCATGGCCTTCCAGGTCTCAAGCCTCATGGACTCCCTGAACAAGCAGCAATCTTACCAACTTGTCGGTTGCAGATAAATCGGGTCAGTGTCGCTTTCCTTCAGGTTGGACCGTGACTGTCGTCTCCTGACGAAAGAGATGCAGGTCCTGGCTGCAGATCCAAAGAGCGCGAAGCATCGAGCCCAGGTGTCAGTCAGGATCTTCGCATTGTGACGTGTGTTGCATGCCGCCTCAATCCTCGGCCTCGACATGTGCGGTGCTAGGCTTGCGCATAAATCAACCGTGACGCATCGCCAATCGCGGATGGACAATCACTGCACTCACAGGGGCTGAGGACTGGAGGCAAACAAACTCACCGAAGTCAATTTTAAAACAGCTGTCAGGCAACGTTGAACCACGGCCTCTTGCTGGACTTTCACGGGTGGGCTGGTGCGGGAAAGAGTGCTGCACACCACTGGAGCAAGCCCTTGTTCATGCTAGACAAAGTGTCTGGCATGGAGCCATGCGAGTTTATGCCATTTTTGCAGATATTTGCGGATGTCTTTTTGCTTCAGTAAACACCGTGTTGTGCTATATGGTCACGCGCTCCGCGGCCCCCCCTTCCGCACCATGGAGTGTGGGTTCCCTCTTCCCCCTGTGGGGTGGCTGTGGGGGTTTTGGGATTTTGGGGTTTAGGGTTTTGGGTTAAAGGTATAAGGCTTCGAGTCAACAAGGGCTTAGGGAGGGTTTAGGGTGTAGGTTCGCTAGGTTTATGTTCTGGTTGAGGCTTAGACTTAGAGCCTGCATTTAGGCGGGGTTTAGGGTTGGTTGCAAGGTTTGAATTTTTATGTTAAGGTTCATAACAGCAGGAGCAGGCGCTACTGCGCTACGTTATAGGATTTATGGCTTGCGTAGGGCTTGCGTACGATGCCGGCCTGATTGCTTGTGCTTCTAGCTCGAGCAAAAGGTTCGGCTTTGGAGCCGCTAGCACCGCAAAGCATTCGATTCAGGCTTGGGCCCCGAGTGTGTGATGGAACCCTCTCAAAACTAGTTTGATGTCGAATCATCCGTGGACAGATGAGCCTGTGTGTGCATATATATATATATGTATGTTTCTACTTGTAATTTGTAATTTTGTATTTAGCCGTAACATGTATAATATTCGTATTGCACATCACCTGCAGGCAAATATGCACATATCGACATGCCTCTTTTCCGACAGAGTCGGGCATATGCAGAAAGCCATTAATCTGCCCGCAAAATGTTCCTTCATCCCGCTATGATTGACTCTCCGATGTGCCGAGGACTCCAAAGAAGGCGACAAATTTGCAGGAGATGAAGGTGCGTTGCTTGTTTGTGCAGATGTCGAAACATCTCCCGTTCGGGGACAGCTTTCGGTCAAATGGCGAAAGACACACCTCCTAGTCACTTTGTGACAAGTGTTGGATACACTTTATATGTATATATATATATATATATATATATTATGTATATATATATATATATATATATCTGTTCATAATAAACATATTTGTGTCTATATATATATATATATGTATATATATATATATATATATATATGTATACATTTTCATATCAGGTCCACGTTATGGGCCTTCGCAGGCTACTGGACAAGGACTTTTCATGGGTGATGGACGCATGTCTTCAGATGCAGCATCGGATTCATAAAAGCGACCAGGAGGGGGCAGCTCACATGCACAAGCTTGAGGCCGTGGGATCTGGTTCTCCTGCTCGATCTTTGTAATTCGGGGAACTAAGAGCTGCGAGTCATACCTTCAGTGGTTCTTGCCTGAGCATCTCAAGTGCCTGTTTGGTGGTCTGGGCACCTTGCACTCATTCGTTTTAGATTCTAGATTGCCATCTCAGTAAGTGGTGGTCGAGGCCGTGCAGAAGAATTTGAAAGAAGTCAAGCAGCAAGCCGACAAGGCACATGCGTGTACTCGGCGAGTGGGCCATAAGGCACTCATCCGTGCATCAGGCCGGCGGGTCGTCCATCTCGAAGATAGTCGACCAAACTTCCGTGCTTGAGAAGAGCGTGTGCAACTCAAGACCTGATGCTGTGAAACCCGCGTTACGTTCAAGCGCCCAGGTTGTGTCCAGAAGTTCGCAGATGCATTGGACTTACTGAGTACGAGCTGTCAATAGGAATGTCAAGGTCCAGTCGCAGACAAAGCATTCGTCGGGGTCATGTCGTAGCAGCACTTTAATACTTTAATACGGGGAATGCTGAAGGTCTTGGATGCTGGTGGTTCTTCTAGTGGCCACGGTGACAATTGGAGTACTGATGTGGAACAGGACACTGACAGCTCTGGTCAAGACGCGCGTTGTCCCGCACGGCTGTCAGGATGAGATACTACGAGAAGAAGCATTTCATCTGAGTCTGCCCACGAACAAGATGTCGAAGGCAGGGCTAGGACATTGAGAAGTGTGTTCGGATGCAACCGGACCGGAACAGAGCAGGACGGCCCTTTGATGATCATCATGTCGGTCTCGATCTGATGGCGGATGTGGAAGCAGCGCCGCAAGCTGTGGACGAGCAGACCTTCGCAGCTGCTCTTTGCGACTGCCAGAGCACGGATCCTCCCTCCATGAGTGCAAAGATGTGCAGAGGCTGACGAAGCCGGGCGTAACCGCTTCAAAACGATTCATCCGTGACATTCGTCACATGCAGAAGGCCCCCATGTATGTTTTCTTCATGATGTACTCATAGCCACAGGCTAGGCCGATCTCCATCGTGATGCCGGACAGTTATATAGTCATACCACTAAGTCAGATCCAAACCCCTAGGTCATGCAGGAAAGCTTGAGACTGAGTAGTCGTTTTGACATCATGCGAGAGCTGTGCTCCCGGCTCGTTCACCGGGGCAGCTTGCCATTTTACCATGCAATCATTCCGATATTACCGACGAGTTTCAGCCCTGCACACCGATTTTTTTGTTAGATTCTATGTACCATGGGGAATCCTAGCGATGCGAGTGAGGTTGCCAGTTTTCGGCATGCGAGGGTTTTGTGCACACTGTTAAATTTTTCTGTCCTATCAGGGTTCCGAGACCAAGCATTGTTGGTGTTCAGCAAGTAGCAGTTGTGGAGGTTGTGTCGTTTCAATTCCAACGTAAGGCACGCAAACTCTAGTTTTGAGTCCGAATCCCGGAATCCTCATCATTCGGGCCTTAAGGACATGTCTCGCTCACACGCTCCACTGAACTTAAGAATGGTACAGGCCTGCACAGCAGCATCCTGAGCATGTTCTTGAGCATGTTCTCTGAATGGTCGTGGTACTAAGTCGTCCGGATGGCCTTGCCGCACATGCTCGAATTGAGCCTGCCGTCCGCTTTTTGGGCTGAACGGAGTGTCTGTTCGAGACAGTCATATTTGAGCCATGGTCCTTGGCTGGTGCCTTTGACCAGCTTGGTTGTTTGTCTTTGCTGGATCTGAAGGTGGAACCCAGGGCATGTCAAGCTTGCATCCGCACATGATGCATTCATCAGCTCTTGCCATGCCCTCGCAAAGGGAGCTGGATCAGCTTCATGTGCGATTGGCACAGGAAGAGCAATCCCTGCGCGACTTGAAGCAGCACGCCCCCACGGCCCCACCGCGAGTGGAGCAGTGGCGGTATTTGCCTCAGGACGGTACCCCCATGCAAATTCTGGTTTCTCCCAGCGTTGATGGGCCAAAGTCGCAGCATGTTCTGCATCCTGGCGACATCTTCACAGTTGTGGATACCGTAACCCACACTGGCATGACCTTTCTCAGACTCCAAGATGGTCGGGGCTGGGCATTGCAATCCAAGCCTGCGGGCAGCTGGCTGTCATTCTTTGGCGGAGAGCCGACGACGCTTTGCATTCCTTTTTCCGGGTCTCAAGAACCAGATCCACGAGCGGGACAATTCAGCAGACCGTCGACGTTGAGTTCAGCACTGCCACCAGACCGTCCGACAGCACCTCAGACGCAACTCCGCATAGATGCAGCGGTTCCACAAAGTGGCCTTTCAAGCCGCAGATCTGATGTCGTTGGCTTGCTGGGAAACACTGCCCCGGGCCTGGGCGAGTCACAGTCTAAACCTACCGACAGTGCCAGCAAAGCGCCGCAGCTGCACGTTCGCGTACTTTCTGCAAAGGGTTTGCGGAACATGGACATCGGTAGCTTTTTCGGCAACAAGTCCGATCCGTATGTTGTGGTTCGTTGCGGAAAAGAGCATCGTCAAACCCCAGTCATCGACAACAATCTTGACCCGGTATGGACAGACGGTCGAGACTTCACTTTCGACTTCAATGCTGCACCAAACCTTCTGGAATTGGAAGTGTTCAACTCCAACATGTTCGTTGACGACACGCTGGGCAAAACATCGCTCTTGCTGAATAGCATTCCAATGGGCAGGTGGGTCAGGAAACAGGACCAGTTACGAGGGTCTTCTGCAGTTGCGCCGGCAGAGGGGGAGCTCGAGTACGAAGTCCTCATCGAAGGAGATAGTGAGGTGCAAGACGTTGTGCAGACTGCCCCAGCATGCAGCCGTGCATTCGACGTGCAGGGCCGAGGTGCTGGGGCTATGCCCAGCTCTTACTCCAAAAGCTATTGTCGTCATGCCGTCAGACGAACTCCGCGTTACACCAAGTCTTGCGGGTGCGGCGCACCGTGCCGGTGAGCAGGCCGGGAGACATATGCAAGCTGTGTGACCACGACGTGCTGCTTGCTTGTTCAAGCCCATGCTGCAGGACATACAACCTGGCATTTACAAGGCCTGCCGGGAGTGACGTCTGGTGTCGCTTCTGTGTCTAGGTTTCTTGAGACAGTAGTTTGCGAGGTGATGGCTGGGACAGCAGTGTACAGGACTTCCACCGGTTGCAGTGATCGCGACGCCGTTGGCCACCTGGCAGCTGGCCAGCAGGTTTCCGTGCAACAGGTGCCATGCTGAGCAGGGCAATGTTTTGGGACTCGACGAGACATGTTCTTTAGTGAGCAGGTGCTGAACTGCCCATCTGAGCAGAGAGTTCGTGGGCGCATCGATGACCCACATGGTTCAGCAGCCGCAAGCAGAATGTATTGACTGTGTTGTTGCTGCTTCATTTCAGATGCTTGTTGAATCCCATGGCTATCCAAGTTGTCTGTATGCTTCTGCGGTCAATATGGTAGAGTCCGTGCAGCTACGCAAGAAAACTGTTGTCGGCAGTTTCAATAAGTTTAATCAAAACTCGTGACTTCTGCTGCTCCCTCGCTATTCTCCGCTCTCCTGAGTCGGATAAAGGCCCTTTTTGGGAGGAGAATCGGGTAAAGGCTTCTTCTGGGATTGTGCTGAAAAGCCGAAGAATCCGCCGAAGAAGAACTAGTTTTTCGAAACATGTCAGCCGCTTGCACGGATTGGAAAGCCAATTCTCAGGATGGATCCCGCTGCTTGACACTAGCGACGGATTTCGATGGGTGCTTCCGGTTGTTGTGACCTGAGAACCTGATCCCGAGCATCTCAACCCTGGCCCAGTCCTTCGCTTCATGAGGTGACGAAGACTTTCGTGGTTGACAACACTTGGTGATGGTCCCAGCTTGTTCGGCAATTGACATTGTGTAAGATATGGCAAAATGTCATGCAGAGTCATCGCAGTCATGTCTCAGGCTACAAGCTTCCTGTGGTGGACTTGGCTACCGCTTCAGCAGAGATCTGAATGACAAGGATGCTGCCTCTGTGCTACTTCTCTCGCACCGACGCTTTGCTGGCAAAAGCACCCTGTCATGGAGGATGTTCGACCCGGGGAGCTGGGGGGAGCGTCCAAGAGCTCAGCTACCAGCGACACTTAGTCATTTGCGATCCGTCGACTTGTCAGCTGAAGGCCATGGAACTCTGTGGTGCATGGCGAAGACCAAGGTGACGGCTGGCTCAAGGCACTGGACTTCGATCGTTCAGGTTGGCTATGGCGATCGTGTGGGATTTCCTTGGAGGTGGCTGATGGACGATATTTACCGATGCGTGTCAATGGTGTTTGGGCTGCACAGTACTGCATTGTGCGAGCCCTCTTTCCAGCCCTCTGGGCCCAGCCTGATACCCATCTGGAGGCTATCCAGTGCTGAAGGCCGGGGCTTCGCACAAAGGAGAGACTGGCATGATGAGAACAGGGAGGGTTGGGTGGATTCGTTGCGAGGCATCGGATAGCCTGGACTCCAAAAGCATCGATGAAACTGCGGCGGCTGAAGAGGAACTTGACAGGCGCTGTGTCTAAAATTGACATGGTTGACTCCCGGTGGTGACTTTCAGTGAGCCACAGATCATTCTCCTGAGATGTGTCTTGAGATAGCTCCAGAACATGTATAACATGGAGAAGGCACTTCTGCTGTACATAACAGCTGCAAGCATGTGCTCTGGCTGCAGGCTGTATCGAGAGCTGAACCGTCGAATGGACATGTCACGCTAGCCGCGAGGCTCTGCGTCTGGGAAGCACCTGCCAAAGAGCAAGTTGCTTGCTCCGATCTGGAGCCAGTCTAAACCCCTTGCCAAAGGCTGCAAGGTTCGCTTGCTTGCGAAAAACAGCTGTGTGTCAACGCGCCCCTTTCTTGCTGCGCGCTTGATTGTTGATGCAGCATCAGCCTTTTGTCGTCGCGGCTTGCTGGGAATTTAAGAGTTTGAACTCTGCCGTGCATGATTCTGGCCCATATGTGCATCCCGACCAAGCACGCCAGTTGTGCCGAAGGCCGTTAAGTTCTCGGCCGAGTTGCGCGAATTGAAGAGAGTGACGAGCTGCTGTGCTGCAGTCTTGTCCTGTGTCCGTTGAGGTCCTTAGCTGCACACCGTGGGGGTGCAGGCAGGCTGCTTGCCGCAGAAAAGAACAGCACTCGTAGCAACTGGAGGATGCCAACAGACGTAGAGCAATGGAGTCGGAAATTCCACAATGTGAGTGTAGACGGGCAAAGCAGATTTGACCGCTGGCCCTTCAGGGGGTCGGGGTATGCGGTTGATAGGCTTTCTTCATGGGATGTACGCAATGTTCCCTGCGCTCTGTGCTGACAGGCAGGATGCCAATGACCCTCCTAGAGCTGGATCCTTCGACTACACTGCACTTCTGCGTGGCCACCAAGCGGTCCTTGTGAAAAGGAGTTGTCTGTGTTCTGGAGGGCAGAAGACTATTTGCATTGAGCAGCCGCAAGGTAAAACGCCGACAAACACGTCGCCGAATAGGCTTGCAGACAGACGGAAATCGCTTCGCTGCCCACGGTTCTCTGCTCTTGAGGAAGCTGCGGCTTACGAACAAGACCAGCGGACCTGTCGCTTTCAAGGTGGGGAAGGCATGTCCATATTGCAATGGGCCCCCCTGTAGCTTGATTGAGGTGAAGACGACAGCTCCAAAGTCGTATCTGGTTCGACCTAGCGCAGCAACACTCAGGTTCGGAAATGTGGGGTTCTACTCTGCATGATTCAAGCAGTCCGCAGCCCTGCCAGTCCCCACGGCAGCGAGGAGGTCACCATAATCCTCCAGCTTGGCGCTTGAACCAGATCTGACAGTGGTGATTTGAGCACACGTGGTGGTTTTGAGGCCGCCGGGAGAGGGCCAGAATCATCGCTTTCTGGTTCAGGCCGTTTGTGCAGTATGGCCTTACAGCCTGTGAGTGCAAATCTCCTTCCGGCTTTGCAGCCAAAATTGAAGGCAGTTGCAGTGAGTTCGTCGCAGCAAGTGAGTGCGTTCCTAATCGGTGCTGTCGTTGATCTGTCCAGTTTCAAGTGGCCTGCATTGCATTGCATTAAGGTCGAGACCAGTGGAGTGAGTTCAAGAAGGACCAGATCGAGGAACAGCGTCTCAATGTTGTCCTCGAGGCGCAGCTTCTCCCTGCGCTCAGCGCTTCGCTCACATTCCACAAGACCTGACATGTTGCAGGAGTCTGAAACAGAACCATCAGCACCCCATCAAGATAACTATGGGTTTGGGCAGCGGCCTCATGAGAAAACCACGAGCAAGGCGCATGTTCAGCAAAAGCCAAGGTGCGGTCCTGTGGATGCCTCCAGAGCGACAGGCGGTGAGGCTTCCCATGGTCCAATATCTTTGGAATATCAGTCAGATGCCATGGCATCTCGAATATGCATGCTGTGGAAGGCCCCAGTTGATTTGCAAGTAAAGTATGATGAGCTGGTGCAGCCGCTTCCCCGGTCTTAGCCATTCGCCGAAGGCTTCTTCGCGAGCTCTTTATCGTCAAAGATTGATTCGTGCATGCTCGGCGAGGTACACTCTCATGCTAGAAAAGCAGAAGAAAAAGCTAGAGGCATTGCGGGCCCGACTTCGGTCGGAAGTGTTTGAACTCTTGCAAACTGCCGCGTTGTTTCGTTGGATTGGATGCTGCGCGCGTTCCTGGACCTTGTTTGGTGTGCTGGGGAGTGCCAGGCCGAGATAGAAGATCTGAAGTCCTCAAAGAGTTTATCCTCCGGTGAGAGTTCTTGCCTCGGTTCCTCGATGAAAAGGGTTCGAAAGCAGCTTTAAGCAGCAGGATGTGTGTCATTGTTCAAGGTGGTGGGTACAATGCGTTCCACATCGTTCTGGTGGCGCTGGTGCGCAGCAGTTGGCTCCATTTTCATGAGCTGGCCGAGAGTCCTCTGGGTGATTGACGAATCATACGCTGGCAGATTGCTTTCATGCTGTCCTACGCTGTGAAATTCCTGGGTCCGAGTCTGAGAGATGAGATGGTTCGCGTCTGCACACGTCTGTTGTCGGCTTAGTACTTGTAACCAAGTGTCGGCACCATGGTGGTGGCTTTGCGCTTTTCGTGCAGATGAGTATTCACACCCTATCGGCAGCTGCTTCAGGATGAGTCTGCTGAACTTCAGGCTGAACTCGACATGCTGTCGAGATTTCTTGATTTTCACTGCGTGGGAAGACCACGGATTTCCTCAGACGGGCATGCGCACTGCGCTTGTCCAGCTAGGCGAAGCAACATCCGTCGGGAATGCACCGCTTGGAACGGGCGAGCAGGCTCCCAGCGTGGTGGGCTTGCTCAGCTTCGGACGGCAGACCTGCAATCGGCTATACATCGCTGTGAACCCACGGATGAAGCGTGGCATCGAACAAAACGATGCCGTTAAGGACGATCTTGTAAAGAAGACGTCTGACGTCTGGAGCGCTTTCAGCCTGCATCTGGTCACCACTACCAGCTTTGTTTTGCAATTCAGTTCTCACCGTGAACCTGGGTCCGCTGCAGCTGCTGATTTTTGGGTTACAAGGGTGAATGCTCTTAGAAAGTTGCCAGGCCTGGAGGTACCCTCCGCCGCCTTTCCGCAGACCCATTCATCAGCTTGCTGTGAGATGCCAACAAGGGCTTCCGCGGCCAGGAAACCCCACAGCCTTGTAGCCTTGTAACATGGCAATGCCTGATAAAGTGAGAGGCAGTCTTCCTTCCCTCTTTCATGGGGCTGTGGGCGAAGCTACGAGGATAGGATAGGGGGAGGCTTCCATCAAGTCAGAATGCTGGGGGATGGGAGTCTCACTATCACAGACGGTCCAGCTAGCGTTAGCACTGTGATCAACATGCCTGCGGTGTCCGTCGCGATACAGGACCCACTCTTTGAACTTTGGGCCAGTCTGTGGTGGTTGCAGGCGTTGTGCTAAGCATTTGGCGTGACGCTTCCACGTCCGTCATCCGAAATGCTTGGTGACAGGTTGGCAGCACATTAGGAGTCTGCTAGAGTGCGGAAACTTACCATCGATGTGGCTCATTGCCACTGCATAGTCCAAAAGGGCAGCGGGGTTCTAAACCTAAGGCTTGGAGCTCTTGTGAGAGAGGTGACGAATACATGGCATGCTTCTTCGTTGCCGACGTTCGGGCTGCAGCGTTTTCAGTCAGTCCCTTGTGTCTCAAAGCCCGAAGCTCAATGCTAATAATTGCTTCTGGTCCTGCAGTGCCTGGAGAGTTTTATTCTCTTACGAGCCTCGCTTGTAAAGGTGCAACTTGACTGGTTCGATGGTCCGTTCGGGACTCGAGTCTTTATGATGTTGACCGCAGCTTGGATGTGATACGGTCCTGGCTGGCAGGGCAAGTGCACGGCCTGTACCAAGCTGCCTGAGCGTTTGGGCGAGCACTCCAGTCAATTTCAGAGGCACAGTTGATGAGACAATCGACCCAAGATAATTCTCATCTCCAGCAGCTGTGGTAGGTGCGTCATGGCCGAGCTGCGAACGCAGTCCCTAGCTCATGGACTCTGTAAGAAGCGGGCTCAGCTCCCTTCTTTCGTTTAGGCTGGGTGAAGACGATGATGAAGACGAACCTGAATACTTGCAGTTCAAGGTCCGCTGTGAGCAACAATTTCTCGCACTCGCATGCCGTGGGTACTCAGGTAATTCTTCTCGGCGACGGTGCGGTTGGAAAGACTTCGATGGCCACGCGATTCTGCGAGGCTGCGGCTTGCACAATCGCCTATAGTCAGTCTCAGTTCCTTCGCAAGCCGTACTTGCGCACAATACCTTACAGATATCTTTGACACATGATCCCATTGCCACAGCTTTCCGTTGCAGTCTTCTTGCATCAATGTTGGACATATTCAGAAGCCCGAGCTATGCTTCCTGAGCTAGGGGCATTTTGGGCATACCCAGATCCCTTGCAGAGGCTTTGCAATACTGAGCAGCGAAGGCTGAACGTGTTGGTTACTTGTCATTTCGAAGGCAAGCAAATCCTGGAGGGCCTAAACGGAAGTCATGGCGAGGAAACCCCAAACTCTCAGAGGAGGTCTAGTAATGCATTAGGCTTCACGACGATGCTTGGAGAACTGCCAGACAGGCTCGGATATCGTACTTTATGCAAGTCCGTGCGAGCGCGAAATCGTTGAAGGAGAAATGAGTGGAGGAAAACTAAGCCTTACGGAGCTCAGTGCAATGCAAACCCTCTAGGGAACCATGATGGCACATCTTCTCAAGTAGATGGAGTTGTCGCAAGCAAGCCGAGGGGCACTGAAACGGGTAGAATCCACAGCATTTTTCAACACTTCGACGCAGAGCAGCATGACGTCGGTCAAAGCGTAAGCTGCAGAAGTTCTGTTTAGCATTCTACCCCTAAGGTCGTGAGGGTTTAATAGTCGACAACAGTATGTCGCTTTGCACCCATAATGCAGGAGACGACGTGCGAGTCAGAAACAGACATGCTTCCTGTCTGGACGGCAGGATCACTTTGCCAAGCAGTACAAGCAAACGATAGGCGCCGCCCTTAGCTTGCGTGGTGTGCAACCCCCGACATGCAGATCCAGACTTTGGGATCTTTGGCAGAAGCAGGATATTGCTGCAATGTGAGTGGTTTGTAGCAGCCGTGAAGTATCGAAACTATCAGAGAATGTGCTGGTATTCGGTGTAAAAGGCGTCAGTATGAAAGCTGCTTTGAAAGGATGTTGTTGCGAGCACACCGGTCAGCGTGAAGGGAGGTGATGGGAGGAGGTCAGTCTCTGGGTGAGGTTGGATACCCACAGACCAAACGGGATCAACCTCTTTCTGTATCTGGGTGTCGCATGAATCGTGGATAATCCTGGTGCACGCTTAGAGTGCAATGGGGGGAAGATGCTATCCTGGTGGTGGTCTTCGATTTACGAAGCACGATGTCGGAATGACAGAAACATGAAAAAGGGGTGGGATTCCGATTCTGCTGCACATCTACTGTGGTTTGATGTGCACACCGCGCAGGTCATGCTCGAAAAGGCAAGTTGATGCCCAGAAAATCATGTCGGAAGTTCGTGCGGATGTGTATCGTGAAAGTCTCCTTGGGCAGCCATCTTGAACTTAGGCTTGGATTTCTTTGTCAAGAGAGTGGTTCTGCCAGGCGACATTCACGTGACCCCGTGGCTTTACATTCACTTGCATACTCTTCGAGTAACTTAAGCCAACGTTGGCTCAGTCGCAGGTATGCTTGCAGATATGGGACATTGGCGGCCAATCCATTGGTGGCAAGATGTTGAGCAACTACATCTATGGCTCCAGTGCTGCCGCTTGCTAGCAGTACACTTAGACAAACATGCTGGAAAAAAGAGGGACGTCGGAATTAGTCAGGTCGTCCTCTGCTACGACATCACCAACTATCAGAGCTTCCAACATCTGGAGGAGGGAGATGTATCTATGCCGGGTGGCAGGGTTTCGCAGTCTTGGGCAGGACTGGTTGTTCCTGGTCAAGCGCACGTTTGACAAGACGCCGCTTCCGCGAGCGTGATGCAATGCTTCGGGCATTGTATGGTGGTCGCACTTGAGAGCTGGAGGTACATTGCGTTGATGGCAAACAAGCACGACTTGGCGCACATCCGAGCTGTGAAAGTGGACAAACACAATCAGGCGCGAGAGTAGGTTTCATGTGTACTCATATCTTTTTTGTCGGGGTCATGTGAAAGCCTCCTGGTGCGACAGTTCGCGGAAGAGAACGACTTGTACAGCTACTTCGTGTCCGCGCGGACAGGAGATCAGGCCGGAAGCGCATGCGAGCAGGAAGGGTTTCATTGCAGGCAAAAGCTTCTTTTTGATAATCCCGCCCACAATCTTGTGCTCGTCGGATTCAGGTTCATTCGTCATTCTTTCGAATCGCTGCAGATCTTGCAGGCGAGGTCAAGTCAGCATTGGCAGATCCGAAGTACAACGATGTGTCCATGTGCGTGCTCTTTCAACGTTGTGCTTCCCCATCCTCGGAGATGAGGTGTCACCTTGACAAAACCCGAGCTCGAGGTGCAGACGTGTGTGATTTTAGAATTTTTGCCAGCGCCGGTGCGGCAAGCGCAAGTGCTTCTTCAGGTTGCGCAAAAGCCAACCAAGGCCGAGCTGGTGAATCATCCAAGCGCCCCGGAGCAAGTGTTCCTAGTGACGGCTTGCAGCCGGATGACCAGATGACCAAGGAAACGATCCTGCGCATCCGGAGGCCGGCCAGTCGGAATGCCTGTAATTGAGACAGAAGACCTCCAGCTTCGATTTTTGCTGAGGCGAACGCCGATGACATAGCCAAAGAGAAGAAGTGCTCCATCATGTAATTCATTGTTGGAGCAGCACCTCTTTGACAACTCCCGGACTTTAAAAATTCGTCAGTATTACTTACTTCAGGTAAGGCGGGGTCTGATATTGGCGTCTGATATTGGCCCTTTGAGTTTATCTAATGAAAAGGAGTGTCTTACTTTGAGCTAAGTTGATTACATTATTTGGTCTGAGAGAAGGCACCTTTGCATTGACAGTGTCTATCGAACATAGATTTCTGTATGATAAAATACTTACAAACGATTCAGCCAACTAAAAAACATTTCCTGCTTTGTAGTGCATCGTCGTGAGTCATATTAATAGAACGGGTATCAAACTATGGGCCCATGGGCTCTTAGATTAGAGTAACTTGAACTGATTGTGGAGGAGGTGGGACACATGCAGAAAGCTGGCTCCCCATCAAATGGTGCAAATCCGGCCCTTGTGTCCTGCTATTTGGTTGTGTCGGCCGTGGTTCTTGCACGGTTCTCGTGGGGCGCTCATCTTGGGGCTTGGGTTTATTCTCAGGAAAAGTATGAACAATATTTGATGGGAAAATCTGCAATTCGGTCTCGTGCTCTCGAAACATGCTGGTGCTTCCTGAATTTCGCTGCGAGGCATAGATCTTTACATCTGATTTATTTGGAGGAGAAACGTCTCGATTATATCTCGCGTTTGATCTTATAATATGTATTTCTTCCATTACTGTTTGATGATCAATACATGAACATATCAATATACAGAAGTTTATGTAAGAGCAGGTCAATATCAAAAGCTAGTATGTATTTTTTGTGTGTTGTGTGTGCTGTGTGTGTTGTGTGTGTATGTGTGTTGTGTGTGTTGTGTGTGTTGGTTGTGTGTGTGTTGTGTGTGGTGTGTGTCGTGTGTGTGTGTGTGTGTGTTGTGCGTGTCGTGTGTATATGTATTGCGCGTGGTATTCGTGTCGTACATATGATGGATGTTGAATATTACGCGTTATATAGATATATATATATATAAGAGAATCTATTCTTATTTTGAAGGATTGGTAAATCTTAAACGATTGAATAAAGATATTCTTGCGAAAAAAAGAAAATTTTTATATAATTACTTCGACTTTGATCATTTTATATTCGTGATTCCATGAAGAAGAGATGAAATGATGAATGCGAATTTTCGTGGTATTGAAAGGTATTTGAAATATTTCAATACTAATTTAAAAAATAAAATTTGAGATTCGTAATTTAAGATTTATAATTAATTGATTTCTCGAATTGATTTGAGATATATGATATAGTAAATAATATTTCCGAATGATATTCTTATAGGTATTTTCTTTCTTAGAGAATCTATGAGGTTGATTTATCCGATTGATTTATGAAATTATGGATGAATTCGTCTGATATATTTCCGAGCTTATAAATTGATTCTCAATTATCTTATCTATCTGGGCGATAGGAATACTAATTAAATTTTCTATTAATTTTGAATATGATTCTCTATTCTCTTTGAAATATTCGGATATTTTTCTTTTTTATTTTGCTCATAGGTCTCCGACTTAGATTTTATCTATTATAAAAAATTTTCTATAGTTTTGGATGAAGTAATAAGAAAGACTACGTATCATTATATAAATGAATATATTTTCCTATATAAGTGCTATGGAAGTAAAAGTTCGGAAATCTATTCTTCTCGGAGTGCGTATCTCTCTGCCTTGCTATATCGCTTACTTGCAGCCTTTTATTTATACGGAAATCAAACTGGCGGAGCGAACTGGGATCTCTGGTGGTCTGGTGTAGTATTAGAGCTACTGATGGTGCGATCTTTGATTTTTGATGGACTGGAGAAGATTTGGGCAAGTGAGTGCGCATTGTCATACAAGTGCTGTGAAAATGAATATATCGTATTATTAAGTGAATATTCCCTGTCAATAAATCCGAAAGGGCGTAAATATATCATCCGATATTTCGAGGGGAGATAATGAATCCGGGAGGATTTGTGCGTATCTCTTCCTATTTCAAAGGGAAAGGGTAGATAAATCTTGATCGAACAAGCAGAGGTCGGTACTCTCCTGGGCATCCGGTCAACGAAGACATACGCCCCTAGGGAGGGATGAAAACATACCTATAAATATTTCTATTTTTTTCATGATTCCGTGATATTATTATTTGATATTTCAAACAATGAAAACGAGTAGTCATGAAATTAGGAGATATTTGCAATATTTCAGCAATAATATAGGAATGAGCCTTGAAATCTATAGAATTTGAAATTTCTGAGCTGACTTATCAAATTAATTTCTCGAGATCAATTGAAATATATGGTTCATTGAAATCAATTCATATTATATTTTTGTATATATATAGATAGATAAAAATCCGTACTTCATATTTTTATGCAGAATAATAGAAGTTATATGGCATATGATAAATATTATATCCAAGCAATTTCCTAATATTTTATAAGACTTATTAGATCCTAAACGCGCGTCTCTCAAAAACCTTGAGAGCTTTCTTCGAGCGATATTTGGAACTTTCTTGGGAGAAAGTATAAATTATATATTTTAAATATATTCTCTATATATATATTAGTTATATATTTTTCACAATCTATAAATATTCTCTATCCTAAATCATATTATATTCGAACGAAATTACGAGCTCATCAAATAAAATATATTGCGAATATAAAATATATTATGAAAAATATTATAAATAATTATCTTTCATTCATTTTTCTCAAATATATAGAAATATCGATTATATTAATATAAAAGAATTTCGAATATAAAATATATCCAAAAAAATATTATAAATACTATATTAACCTTCGTATATTTATATCAATATCAGAATTCAAATTTTTAATAGTATTATTAATACTAATTCATATATGAACGCTATATATGTCAATAATATCGATATGAAATACTTAGAACGACGATTTATTAATTTTTATGAATTTGAATCGAAATCAATACTATTATTTCATTTCAATAGCTCGTATAATTATAAGAAAGAATATTAAGTTATAGATCTATGAATATATGAATTTATAGATATCTATTAATTTCAATATCTATGATAGAAAATTACGAATTGATTTCTTAATAATAAGATTTCCATATTCAATATATATTAACCCTAATATCTACGATTAGAATATTCATCTATAAAATCTATGATATACCTTTAGAATTTTATTATAACGAGAATATTTTTCAAAAATTTATCAAATTTTAATATCGTAAGAATATATTTGAAAATCTAAAAACTAAATCAAAGATGAAAATTTTCCTATAGAATCACGGTCGCAGATAATACACCGCCATCTTGTTCGAGAAGATCAATATCCAGAAAATTTATACGATTAAATAGATATGAATACGATATTTAATTTGACCAATTTATCTTTAGAATTTATAGAGATATATATATATATATACAAGAATCCCAACATCAATAATTTAGTCACGACTTAACGTACCAATTTCATAATTACCAAATTCGAACCCATAACCCAAACCCCTCAATGCCGAAACCAAACCCCAAACCCGTATTCTGAAATCTCGACTTCTAAGTACATGAAACCTGCAACCACCAAACCACACATTAAATTCAAATTCCAAGAAAAGGTGCGATTAACACACAAGGCCAAGCCTGGATTTCAAAAACAACCCGCAGCACCAGCAAGACCGAAAAGAATACGATGGGAGGTTGAGGACATTCAATCGACGATAGGATATTCAGGTTTACGGTTTGGGGTTTCGGGACGTCTCTGGTCCGAGGCTTCGGGCTTGGAGGTATTTTTGCATTTTCATAGCATCTTTTTGTACTTTTCAGATGGGTTTGGTTTGGAGTTTCGTGCTTCATGCAATGCTTGGAAATAAGGAAAAACTTAGAATTTAGAGCTTTAAAATTGAAGGTTTATGGGTGCATAGTTTGGGCTTGGGGTGGTGTCGAGTTTCGGGTTTAGGGAGAGTGGCCTGAAGTTTCGGGCTTGAGGCGATTTTGAGTTTGAGGGTTAGGGTTGGGATTTCGGATGGTTTGGAAAGTTTATGGTTGGAGGAGAAACTGTTTTAGGTGTGGGTATGGAGTTTAGGTTTAAGGCTTTACTTCTGGAGTTATGGAGGTTGTGGTTCGAGGCTGTGCACCTGGGCTTACGATTTTGGGGTTTAGGGTTTCGGATTGAGGTCTTCGGGTTGGGGGTTTGTAGTTTGGGGTTTGGATGAACATCCGAAAACAACAAGCGGAGTGCTGTTGAGGGACGAAGGAGGCAGTCAACCCAACCAAGAACCACACAGCAACAGGAGAACTCAAGACACAGCTGACATAGAAAACACACGATTCCGCTTTTGGCAGATAAATCACAGAACATAGGGCGCTAAGTAGCCACGAAATCCAAAAGCTTGCAAGCCTAAAACGAAAGCAATGCTCCTTCTGTTCCGGATGATCAGACATGAAGGGTCCAGAATGCCAAAGCCCCTCAGGGTCAAATATGCCAATTCTCGCATTTCAAACCTTGAAGTGTCCAGCTAAGAAAGGTGCCAGAGATTTCAGAACCTGTATCCTGTTCGTGTTTTTGCAAAATGAGCCTTTTCCTAATTATGCAAAGCTTCGCAGAGATTCAGAGACGCATGGTGCAACAACCTTTTCTGGTGCATGCACTATGCAGGGTTGTGGCTTGCCGAGGCAAGCCTCTACTCCTTCAGGCTCGTTGACGGCGGGCGGCTCCTGTCGCTGAGCTGCTCTTCCGGCGTCGCCCGGATCAGCTCAGCAGACGTCTGTAAGGATTCAAGTCAATGTGGTGTTCGCGCCGCACCTCATGACAGGTCTGGTAGAAAATTGCAGCAATGGACAACTCGAACTCGAACTAGTGTTGTGCACATCATGCTTGCCTGTGTGGTTTCTCGCAACCATGTGCTGCGCTGCGCCACGGCCTTGCTGCATCGACAGCTTTGCTCCGACGAAAGGACTCCAGCCTGGCTCTGGGGATCCGACGCCTTCTGCTTGCAGATGTGGATGTCCTTGAGTCCTGGTCCTGCTCCAACCATTTCTGTTAAACGCTCTGTACCGTTCGCCGGCAGAAGCTCGGCTACGGCTCCTTGACTCCGTGCTTGCCCCTAGTCGTCGCTGGTGCTGTCGCTCTGTGTCTGATCGTTGCCTGGCGACTTTCGGAATTCCTACGCTGCGGCGTTCTGGTAGGTGATCCAGCTGGCGCCTGTCTGGCTTCTGTCCGCAAGCCTCTTGGTCTGCCTAGAAAGATGCCCGTACAAGTACATGCAGCTGGCCGTCCCGTCATCTCTGCCAGTGTAGCCCCTCGGGCCAGCGCTCTGGAGGCAGATCACGGCGTGCCTGCCCAACCGGCAACCGGCGGCTTTGCTCTGCGTCGGAAGGAGCTTTCGCCGAAGGTGGGCCTTCGGCACCGTCCTCTCCTCATCACTGCTGGAGAGTCTCGGCTGCAGCCCAAAGGCTCCCAGTCCTCACGAGTAGACCAGCCTTCCGACTTGCATTCTCCTGGACTCGTTTCGAGCCTGTCAGCCCGTGGGCCAAGAGGCTGCGCTGTCGGGCAGTCAATGCACTTGACCTGGGCACATTCAATCCTGATGACTTGCGACACTTTCCTTCGGAATGATGATTTCTTGCAGCTGAAGAATTTAGGATGTGTCCCTTCCATTTGAGCGTCATCATCATCGCTGTCGATACCTTGAAGCACCAGGCCAGCCATTTGAAGATACCTTGCTTTCGGGCAGGATGCAGCATTAAGTCCCTGGCTGGATATCGTGGCTGCGCTGGCCGCTGGCCTCCGACGATCTACATGTGGGAGATGCTGCACGGAAGTGAATCTTAAACAGAAGGAACCATCCAGCTGTACGACAGAGCTTCCAGGGCCTGGTTGGCTTTGCCGGTGCTTTGGTGCAGGGCAAATCTGAGCTGCTGATAGACTAGTGTCGACATTCTTTGACAAGGCCTTTCCACAAAAGACATGCTAAAGCAGCGAAGACCCGAAAGTAAAAAGGCTGTGGCAGGTCTCGTCGTCGTCACTGCTGTCTGCAGGTGCCTGCTGCGGGAAGCAGCAGTCAGAGAAGCTCTTGACTGCTTCAGTATTCCAACAGTCGTGATTCGCGGCAGTGCACCCGCTCATGCAAATGCGTTCTGCTCACCAAGAAGATGCAGGTGGACATATTAATATGCCCACACTGCCACAACTTGAGTGACGCAACCAATGCCACACCCACACCCACACCCACACCCACAGCCACAGCCACAGCCACCCCCACGCCCCACGCCCCACGCCCACGCCCACGCCCACCCCCACCCCCACCCCCACCCCCACACACCCACACACCCACACACCCACACACACACCTACACACACCTACACACACCTACACACACACCTACACACACCTACACACACCTACACACACCTACACACACCTACACACCTACACACCTAAACACCTACACCTACACACACACACCTACACACACACAAACACACACACACACACACACACACACACACACACACACACACACACACACACACGGATTCTGAGTGACCGACAGATTCCTATCGCTGAGGCGTTACTCTGGCCGATGCCAGCTACTATTATAGGATCTTCACGGGATGGCTACAAAAATAACAACAAACCTACAACAGCTCAAACATCCTGAAACTTGTGTATTATGTATATGTATATGTATATATATATATATATATATATACATATGTAGATAAACATACAGACAGGCATGCATACATATACATATATATATATATATACATATGTAGATAAACATACAGACAGGCATGCATACATACATATATATATATATATAAATACATATATATATATACATATATGTATATGTATATGTATATGTATATGTACATGTATCTATATATATCTGGGTGGTTGTCAAAACTAGGGTCCCTTTTTGGGTACCCTAAATATTAGGTGCCGTAGTATATTAAGGACCCAGAAAGGGACCCTAATTTTGACAACTACCCGTATATATATATATGTGCCCGATACTTTTAGGGTCTATATAACCGCGGTTTGTTGTCTTCAGCACATAATGGAAAGCAAAATGAAAGGTATAAGCACAGCCCATATTACAAAGCCACGACCTGAAAAGTTTCGGATCGACTAGGCTATATTTTTCTATCAAGTAATTATAGCAAATTACTCGCATTCAGGGAGACGAGTATTATATAAACAGAACATCGAGTGTTGATCCCAACACTGTCGATGAATAAACATTCGTTGTGATGACACATTTCAGTGTACAGAGTCCATACATCTTGCAGGAATGATGTATCGTCGTGAAGATATGCATAGCACTGTCAGCAGTATATCGGCAACATGGACAAATTGTCCTGTCCAAATATTTCACAATTCGACTTATTGTTGACTTGCCAGCGCTTGAGTAATTGCATACGACATATCCATCCAAGAATCACGTAATAAGCATGCACGCTGTAATATGGCATAAATTTGTTTGTAATTTCCGCACAGGCCAGAATGCAAAACCTGACAGGTTCGGTACTCATGAATCGGATGTGTTTATATGACAAATTATGGGAATACATACGGCATGACACATCCATATCACATGATGTAACACTTTACAGGGCATGTAATGTGCCAATCTGTTATGTCCTGGACTTTCCAATGTATAAGTTCCTTGTCAGTAGAGGGTCAATCGGAGTGGGTGGAGTGACACATTAGGGTGCCTGTAATATGTCAATTTGATATGCCCAGGCACAGGGGCCTGACAGTGTATAAGTTCCTTGTTAGTAGGGTTTCAGTAGGAGAAATGGAGTGACACATTAGAGGGCATGTAATATGTCAATTTGCCCAGTCCAGGACCCAGGAAGTGAAGATACACATTATAGTGGGTTTAATGTGCGAGTTTGTTATGTCCATAAAAAGTGCTTTCCGATGTATCAATTTCTTATCAGTAGGGTTTCAATAGGATAGGTGGAGCGACACATTATAGGCTATAGGGCCTGCAGTGTGTCAGTTTATTATGTCCAGGGGTTTTCCAGTGGAAAAGTTCCATTGCAATAGAGGTTCCATAGGAGGGAGTGGAGTGACACATTAGAGGGCCTGTAATGCGTCAATTTATACTACCCAGAGGCCTTCCAATATACAGATGCCCTACAGTGTATAAGTTCCTTGCCTTTAAGGTTTCAATAGGAATAATGACACATTAGACCATGAAGAATCCCTATAGATCCCTTCACAAATCCCTTGTATGGAGCCCTCATAGACAGCCTTTATAGATTCGTATAGAAACTGTATAGATCCCCTATATAGAGAACTTATAGAAACCCCGTATAGATCAACAAATGGAGTTCTTTGTAGAAAACTTTACAAGATCCCTTACATGGAGCTTTCATAGACAACTGCTATATATTCCTTACCCTTTGTAGAAACCACATGGAAGCCCTGTATAGATCCCTCGTATGGAGCCCTTCTGGAAAACCCTTACAGATTGCTTATAGAAATCTTATAGATCCTCTATGTAGAGACCTTATATAAATCCATTATATAAAAAACTATAGATCCCTTACAGAGAGACTTTCTAGAAACCCATTATGGATCCCTCATATGGGGCCTTTATAGTAAGCCCGGTTACAAAGTATGTAGATGCGATGTGGTAAGCTATTCTTGATATAGTAGTTAAGATAAATCGATTGTATTATGGTTCGTACAATACCTATGAAATTACCTTTAAGAATAGAGGGAGCGGTATTAAAACCAATGAAACCGGCAACGAAGATGATGAAGATGATAATGGAGATGATGGAGATGATGAAGATGATGGAGATGATGGAGATGAAGAAGATGATGGGGGTGATGGATATGATGGAGATGGCAGGGGGCAGGGGGCAAATGGCAAAGGGGAGGGAAAGGTGAGGAGGTGGGGAAGGCAGGGATGGTAGGAGAGGGGGCAAGGGAACAGGGGGAGGCCTGAAATGTGTCATGCTTCTTTCTGTAAGGCGGAAAAGATGACACATTTCCGGCCTGAAATGTGTCATGCTTCTTTCTGTTGACACATTTCCGGCCTGAAATGTGTCATGCATTTTCCGGCCTGAAATGTGTCATGCTTCTTTCTGTAAGGCGGAAAGATGACACATTTCCGGCCTGAAATGTGTCATGCTTCTTCTGTAAGGCGGAAAAGATGACACATTTCCGGCCTGAAATGTGTCATGCTTCTTTCTGTAAGCGGAAAAGATGACACATTTCCGGCCTGAAATGTGTCATGCTGCTTTCTGTAAGGCGGAAACGATGACACATTTCCGGCCTGAAATGTGTCATGCTTCTTTCTGTAAGGCGGAAAAGATGACACATTTCCGGCCTGAAATGTGTCCCTAAACCCTAAACCCTAGAGCCCAAACCCTAGGCCTAAACCCTAAAGTCCAAACCCTAGGCCCTAAACCCTATAGCCCAAACCCTAGGCCCTAAACCCTAAACCCTAGGCCCTAAACCCTAAAGCCCATACCCTAGAACTCTAAAGCCTAAACCCTAGGCCCTAAACCCTAAAGCCCAAACCCTAGGCCCTTTGGGGGGGTGGAGGTGGATTCTGGGGTTGGGGTGGGTTCAGGGGGGAAGGTGGGGCTGGATTAGAGGTCAGGTGGTGGGGCAGGGAGCCAGGGGCAGGGCGCGGGGCAGGGGCGAGGGGGGCAGAAAAAAGGAAGGATGCAGAGGAAGGGAGGGAAGGGGGGGGGGGGGGCAGGCGGAGGGAGGGAGAGGAGGCAGGGATGGGGGGGGAGGTGGCCTAGGCCGTAAACCGTCAGGTATGGGGGGACAGTGGGGGTGAGGGAACTTGGTGAGAGGGGGCGAAGGGAGGGGGGGGGAATAGGGGGGAGGGGGGGAGGTGGGGGTGGGGGGTGAGAGGGGGTGGTAGGGGGTGAGTGGGTGATAGGAGGGGGGGGGTGGGGGGAGGTGATCCATGAGCCTCATCCACAGAACCCCAGGATTTCAATTGTTTAAATAATTGAAATGGGGCTGATTTCAATTGTTTCAATTATTTGGGCCCTCTGGCGGATTTAAATAATTGAAATAGGTCGGATTTCAATTAGTTCAATTATTTCAATAATTCAAATCGGTGGGATTCGTGGCTTGGCCCATAGCAACCATCGATTTCATTATTTCAATTATTTGGGCCCTCTGGCGGATTTAAATAATTGAAATAATTGAAATCCGAAAGCCCCATGGGCCCAAGCCACCAAATCCAGTGATTTGAATAATTGAAATAATTGAAATGGGGCTGATTTCAATTATTTCAATTATTTGGGCCCTTTGGCGGATTTAAATAATTGAAATAATTGAAATGGGTCGATTTCAATTATTTCAATTATTTCAATAATTCAAATCGGTGGGATTCGTGGCTTGGCCCATAGCAACCATCGATTTCAATTATTTCAATCATTTATAAATATTTAAATCAAAAGCGTGATTTGGAAATAATTGAAATGGGGCTGATTTCAATTATTTCAATTATTTGGGCCCTTTGGCGGATTTAAATAATTGAAATAATTGAAATGGGTCGGATTTCAATTATTTCAATTATTTCAAATCGGTGGGATTCGTGGCTTGGCCCATAGCAACCATCGATTTCAATTATTTCAATTATTTGGGCCCTCTGGCGGATTTAAATAATTGAAATCCGAAAGCTCCATGGGCCCAAGCCACCAAATCCAATGATTTGTATAATTGAAATAATTGAAACGGGGCTGATTTCAATTATTTGGGCCCTTTGGCGGATTTAAATAATTGAAACAATTGAAATAGTTCGGATTTCAATTATTTCAATAATTCAAATCGGTGGGATTCGTGGCTTGGCCCATAGCAACCATCGATTTCAATTATCTGGGCCCTCTGGCGGATTTAAATAATTCAAATAATTGAAATCCGAAAGCTCCATGGGCCCAAGCCACCAAATCCAGTGATTTGAATAATTGAAATAATTGAAATAATTGAAATGGGGCTGATTTCAATTATTTCAATTATTTGGGCCCTTTGGCGGATTTAAATAATTGAAATAATTGAAATGGGTCGGATTTCAATTATTTCAATTATTCAAATCGGTGGGATTCGTGGCTTGGCCCATAGCAACCATCGATTTCAATTATTTGGGCCCTCTGGCGGATTTAAATAATTGAAATAATTGAAATCAGCTCTGCTGATTTAAATTATTTCAATTATTTCAATTATTTAGAATAATAGTAGTTATAAGGAAAAGAATGGAGCGTAAATTAGACCCTGGAGGCGCCTCTCTCCCTCTCTCTCATATATATATATAGAGTATACACATACATAATTATATTAAGCTGCACAACATCATCTGTCCCCCATACATCGACACACACACACACAAATATACGGCCGCTCAAGCTTCTCTGCAATTGGTGCATGGGCGCATGCCACCATCAAATGGCGGTCATTTCAATGTGCTTTTAGACTGCTTGGTGCCGAATGTATGGATTTGGGAGCGGGATTTTTCATTGGTACGGTATGTCCCCAGCTGGCACTCTCCAGGTTTTTCGCAACGAGATTCTACAATGTACAATCTGTGGGAACTGCAGCATGCAGGGGTTGGGAGAGGTGGGCAGGGGCTTGTAGCAGACAGGGGACATTGAACAAACCCCTTCGGACAGCTTGCCCACCTTGGTATCGGTCTTCGAGTTTTTCGAAGGCGCCATTGAGAGCCTATGAGAACTCAGCGGAGTGCAATGTCAGCGCGATTGTATCTCGCTGCCTGAGTCCGCCCAAAGGCCTCTTGGCAGCGAGGTTTCCAGGACCTCCGCCTGCACGGCTTCAGAACGGCCGAAGGATGCCGCATGATGCGAAGCTTCCTGGCCTCTTTGCAGGGGAGCCAAAGAAGCCTCTGCAGCGGCTGCCATGGCTGCCCGAGCCTCAGGCTTGCTTTGCAGCCCAATGGCTTGCTGGCACAAGCTGCAAGCACTGCAAGCTGCAAGGATCCCGCTTTCTGCTGCGCCGGCCGCGACGGGTGAGAGGCCAGGGGAGCATGTGCAGCTCCTGGCTAGCAGAGGCAGGAATGATGGCTCGTGGTTTCTGAGAGTTGCGCGGCTGCACACATCGCGAATTGTTCGAAATCTGTTTTTGTGCTTGGACTGCCTGGCCGCCACTCGCCTTCCTTTGTTGAAGGCAGCCTGTGACAACTTCACTGATTTGCACCCTCCACTGCATTAATCAAGGCGGGAACCTTGTTTGCCACTTGGCTGAATCCTCCTCTTCTTCCTCCAAGTCCAAGATCTCCACCTGCGGCTGCCACGTGCAAGCCGGAAAGGCACCAAAACAGCACCCATCAGCACCCCCAACCACGAGCCTCGTCGCTCGAGGATTGCGGATCCTGGCACGAACCAAAGAAAGATCGAGCGAACATTCGTGAATGGCTTGTGAGCATGCCACTGCAATTCGCATGTCCAGCCTGCCGGGACTGCATGGACTTCTCCACCTGCTCCATGCATGATCCGGGCAGAATTCCAAGGAACTAGCGGTTGCACGTTTCAGTTCCGTCGACTCTTCCTTTCGGCACCCTCGACCGCCTATATTGGTGTTGCCCGAACGAATCCTACAAGTACCAGTTTGCTAAGTGGGCGAGCCTGAGAGACGCTGCTGAAAAGCGGTTCATCTTCAAGAGCCTGTCGCAACCGCAATCTGCGCTTGAGACAGAAACCTGATGCAGCTCTATGAGCACGTGGCCTCCTGCAGCCTGCCACCCACATCCTGCGTAGCATCTTCCGGTATGGTCGATGCAGGTCATGCGGTGGTACGTACGATGTACAACCAGATGCTGCCATGAAGATGGGCCTCGTTTGCTGCATCGCTCATGAGTCGCTGCAGCCGCTGTCTTCCGGGCTTTCCTGGGAGAGCCGGCCTCCGCGCGTGCCAAAGTTGCAAGCCACAGTATGACAGGACGAGAGGCCTGGCCTGGTCTGTGGGATGTTAGCCATGGACTGGCCCTGGCTCTCACCTGATGCTTGTAGCTGACATGGTGCCCCAGCCTGAGCTAAGCCCCTTGCCACTGACAAGGGGGTCAGCACAAAGCAAGGCCTCGGGACAACGCCAACTCCGAGATGCCCCATCAAGCTACACGGTGCCTGTGTCAGCTCCGGTGCTGGCCCATCTGGCGCATCACTGCAGCCTGTCGCTTCTCTTCGGGAACAGGATGGAAAAAGTGAGATTCCAAGGCCTCGGAAGGATACGATGAGCTTTTCGCAAGCATCGAGGCTTGGAATCTGCCCACAGTAACGGCGGACTTGCAGTTCCGATGGCTTGCATTCGCTGCGGAAGGCAAGCGCCTGCCAGTTGGCAGACTCCGCCTTGCCCGTGAAGTCGTAGATTGCATTCCAAAAATTCTTTGTGGGGTCGAACTTTGCCTGAAGCAGTGAAAGCTTTATAGTTGCTGCTGATGCAGCAATCCGGAAGCTGAGTAACACACTTCCCTGAACTGTTGGGACCTTGAAAACAATCAGCGAATACCCGCCCCTGCAGGTGCGCCTACATGCCTAGCCGGGCCTAGTCACTGCATGCATTCCGTAGCCCCGGACAGTCCCGGATACTCGGCACAGAAGGGTGCCACGCGCAAGTCCTGTCACAACGTCTTGCAGGGCAGTGAAACGCATGTCGGAGTCTGATACGTGATTCGGCCAACTCTCTTGCTACAGCTTGTTTTTCATGATTCATGACTGCTAACTGCATTGGCACACGTCATAGCTGCTCCCCATATCATTACTTCTACCATCTTCTACCCCAAATATCCCCAGCCTTGGAAGACTCAATGATCGGCTCTGTGTGGCAGTGCCTCATAAGGTACAGGTCAGCTGGCCTGGCTCGGGTATTGGAGGCTGCCTTCGTGCTAAGAGCGTGGCAAGTAGAACGTGCAATTTATGCACTCTCTGACACGAAACTGCTTTGTAGCAACCTGAGTCCGGGCAGGCGGTTCGTGATGCACTTTATGCACTTTCGGCTTGGGTTGCAGGGTCCAGGTGCCGCACCCAAAAAGTGCAGTTTTCACAGTTCCTCACGAAGGTAGAGTTCTCGCAGGGCCTCGGTATATCACGTTCAGGCTTCAGTAGTGGCATCTTCTGCATCGAACCAAGCCAAGGACCCGATGACAAGACGACAATCCACCAGGCCCTTGGCAGATCAACGGAATGCTCAACTCGCCAAGCACATCCCTTAGATTTAGCATCGCTCCTTCCCGCAGCTGGAGCACGACCCTACTTTGAAAGTGTGCTTGCAGAAGCTAATATTGAAACATGCGCATAACAAGGATTAAGCTCAAGCTGTTGTCTTGTTTAAAGAGGAACTCCCTATCACTCTCTTGCAATCGTGACGTAACTCCGAGCTGGATGATTTACAAGTGATACATGTATCGTCAATATGTCTGCTTGTGGGTGGGTAGTTTGCGCTCCGAAGTGAATCCATGGCGTACAAAGCTGTTGTTGCGACACCTCTGAAGTAATAACGTACATGACATGTAAAGACCCGTGAAATCAGAGGCTGCAAAGTTAGCTGCTGCAGAATGATCAGCCTATGCATTTCGTGAAGAGTCTTGCCTGCCGTGTAGCAATCGCTAGGCCATCACTAAGTCCCTGTCCCGAACAGCGCGAAACCATTCAAAGCACAGCCAGGGCTCATCAGCATGAAACTCAGAGGACTTCTCACACACCAGGCAGGTGCAACCACTACAGTCCTGGCATCTTCACTTCGATCTGCGTTTAGCTGCTGTTGTTCAATCACGACTCTTGTTTCCCGTGCAAAGCCCGGTTGTGAGATGCTCTTTCTCTGGAAGCCTGTCCTCCACGTGGAAATCGACGCAGTCGAGACCACCGAATGCACCAGGCTTCCGCACGATTGTTTTGTTGAACCTGCAGCATTTGGTAACTTTGAACTGAACGACCATGCTGCACCTTCGCACCTGTCATGGATGGCGTAGGGCTGGAGTTCCTTGAGACTACGCTTGAAAGCCTTGGCACCAGCACTGAGCATGTGATCGTGGAGTGCTTTATTGCCACTGGACGAAGCCTGGAATAAGTTCGGGGCTGGCAGGTCTACACGGCCATCCTGCTGATGGGCCTGGGTGTCTGATCTGCGTATGCTTCCAATCACGGAGTGGAACGCTTGTAGGGTCGGGGACGTGCAGAAATGCCATCACTTCGGCCTGCACTGCCAACATGCTTTCGGATCTTAACATGTAATGCAACTCGCCTCACCATATCTGAGATAGTCCCGTAGGTATGACCTCAAGCCGAGTCATACAACAGCTTGGCATGTTTTTGTGGCTGGCCATCGGACATCAAATCCTCCTCGCCCAAGAAACCATCACCATCAGCGTCCATCTGTCAGGCATCCGTCGTATGCTTCCGTTCCCGACAACTGGGTGCACGTGCGAACGCCTCTTCGAAAAGCTTGCCGACGTCTTTGGGACCTCAGCCAGCCGACCTTGATCTTTGCACCCTGTGCTCCTTGCACTTGCCGCCAGGACACGGTGTAGTGGCGACATGCCCCTCAACGTGGAAGGCCTCAGAGTGGGCCAGCACTTTGCGTCAAGAGCTCGAACAGCCTCCACTATGCCAGAATGTCGGATCAGCGAACCAGGATTGAGGGAAGGACAGGGTGCTGTCTGACTTTTTTCTGGTTGTCGCTGCCTGCTCTTGGCAAACCGTCAACACAAATACCGACAAATGCTGCAACTGTAGCAGTGTGCACACTCTTTTTATTCACTTCACTGAGATCGCTGTCCGAAGCCATCCCTCAATTGCTTGATTCACTTGCACAGCTGCCTCTTCCTGCAGGGTCATGCTGCAGAGCGAGGTACTGCATAGTGGCTTATGCATCACTCGCAGTGAATTTGCAACTCGGAGAGCCTGCAAATAATGCCCCGCATCCACAGGCACTACGAGACAATCTGTGCGAGATCTCATGTGTTCTTCCCACCCGGATGTGTGAAACCTTGGCATTTCAGAAGCAGCTGCCAACTCTTAGGTGCTACTCGTAGAATCCACTGACACGAGGTTTCACACTTCAGCTTAGAGTCAGGAAGGGCTTGTTCCTTCCGAACTTCTGGCCATACCTCGAAGTGCAGCAGCTGCAAACACTCTGTGTGTACTCTTGAGAGTGCTCTGTCAGGCGAGGTGCATAAACAAGCACGGGCAGCTGGGAAGAGCTCTTCCTCGGCACGACTTCTCCCTGCTGCTCCCTCCAAGTGCATCAGGGGAAGGCTGACCGGGCCTTCGAGGGCTGAGGGCTTCGAAGGAGCCGACCAACAGCCAAAGCTGGTGAAGAAGTAGAAATAAGGATAACATGCCTTGCCCCAAAGCAAGTTGTAAGACAGGCAGCTTCTCGGGGTGATTCAGCGGAGTCTGTCAGGCCGCACTGACTTTGACCAAGGGGCTTTCCCGGTCACGTGCATATGGTCCCGGCCAATGTACCGTGCCAACACACGTGCCATGCGGTCGCCCAGATTTTGCCCCACATCAGCAAAGGGTGTTCTTGCCGTCAACCGACACACGAGATAGGCCGCCACCAACCAGGCCTGGTACTTCACGAAGTAATAGGCAGCATCCTTCCAGCCAAAGAACGAAGGATGCCCAACATCCAAAGCAATAATGGATGCCACCAGACCTTAAGCCGTTCAGCCAAAACCTTTCTGGTAAAGGCTTGTACGTTGTCCCATGTTTACGGAGGAAATCAAGATGATACACTTTGTCCGAGATGCTAGGATGCCGATGTTGTAGCATGAATCCCCAAGGACCTTAAATCTCGAGTTCGCAATGATGAAGGAAAGGGTACTGCTTGCCAAGGTGCAGCCCCAATCGTGCAGCACAAGAATGACTCTGTGCTTGCAGTGGTGGCCTTTACAAGATTTCGCTTGATGCGGCTCTCCTTACTTTGATTCTTTTTGCTGCGCAGGTGCGGATGGTTTGAGCTAGCATGTCCGCCGCCTCCTCGAAATCGTAGCCCTCTCAGTTGAGATGTTGAGTTGGCACTAGCCCAGTGAATCGTGACTGCAGTGACCGTTTAATCTCGCACCCTTTATTATAGTTGTCCCGCCCAAGTTGACCGACCTTCGAGGAATAGCTCTGCTGCACGTCAGAAGGCTGCCCAAAGAATGGCAAGGTCACGCACTTGCCTCAGGCTCTAAGCGATCCGTGATCTTCTGCAATGCAAGCGTGTGCACAGAGTAAGGCTCGCCTGCATGTCTTGCCGCCGCCCAAGTTGCACGAATATCGGCTCTTGAAGTGCTCCACCTGTGCCTCCCAGACTGCTGCATCATCAGGCCAGCCATGCCTCAATTACGGTGTTTTGCTGTGCCGCGGGGTTCCACCACAACTTAGTTACTTAGTTGCTTGTCTGCCAAGGTGCACGAAGAAGAGTGTCTCTGGTCCGGAACCTTCAGATCTCACTGGCAGAGAGGCCTCTTCAAACAGATTGCTTGCAGATGGTTCAGTCTGAAGATTGCCCTCATCCATGGCAGAGGTGTCAGCTTGCAGCTGCAGCCTCTTCAGGCAGTAGCCTTTGCCCTGTTGCCGTGATGCTGACGCGGCAGGGCACCCTTTGCAGGAAGGCCTCCGCGACGCTTGACTACATCGTGAATGCAGTCGGGCACGCAGTTCTGTAAATCACACACTCATTCGCACAAGCCAGTCTTGCCCCACTTCAGAGAAGAAGGCCTGTTGCGACAAGATGTGGCTACAAAGCAGCACACGTGATGATGCCAAAGGATGTCGCCATTGGCGGCAGGATGCCACCATCCGAGCTTCTGAGGCTTGATCCCATCTCCGGTGGCATGAAAGCTCAAACTGCCACCATCGTGCGCACATGCGAACCTCCCGAAAACGGAAACCTCAACAAGCATCTTTTCGCTGCTCGCGCGAAGTTCGTGGCGAACGCGATGCATTAACAAAAGTAGCAGGACATGCGCACGCAACTACAGAAAGTTTTGGTCTCGACGGCTCTCACCTTGCCGCGGCCTTCGGAGAAATTTCCTGGGAGAGCAGCATCTTGTGTTCTTGTCTCGTCCTTCTGGTGATCTATGAATGTTGCTGTGACTAGTTTGGGGTCGGACTTTAAAGGATTCGCAAATCTGCTGCTGAGAACTGAAAGCTTGCGGCTGACGCTCGTATGGTCCATGTGCCAAGTTTGGATACGTTTGGGTGGGCTGGAGGGGTGCCTTGTGAGCAGCAGCCCTTTGTATCTGTCTTGAAACCTAAGCTACGAGTAGAAGTAGAAGTGCTACTGGTAGCCTGTGGTCAAGGCTTCCCGCGTTCGGCCTTGCAGTTGGGGTTTTGGATCATTGCAGGGCTCACGTGATCAGCGCCGCCAGCAAGTCTCCGTGGAAACGCAGAAACAAATGCAAGCAGATGCAGTGGCATGCATCAGCTGAACGACCACCAGCAAGGACAAGCCCTACAGCCCATCTCACAAAGCCACACAAGACCTACCAACGCAAAAGCCCGACAGTCCGAATTCTGTGACCCAACTCCTCCGTCACATGCTCATGACTAAGCTGATCGGCCGGCTGTTCCAGGGCGGCAAGACCTGAGCCACTGTAAGACTAAAGAAGTTGCCTTGGAATGCGCAAACTTCTTGCTTGAAGCTTTCCGAAACGCTTCTCATTTTTGCATGGCTTCCGTTGCCTCGCTTGGAACACAGTGGCGGACCTTCTCACGGGTTCCCAACTCTTTCCAGGGCCGGAGGCAAGGTGTGGCCAGCCCCGAACACAGTACACGAATCAGACTGCACCCGTACGACAGATCACGCGCGAAACGCCAATGAGTCAATCACAATGCACATGTGCCTTTGCGCAACTCGCCTTATCAGGTGATATTGGCATAGGTTTGAAATGTTTTCAGGCAGCGCACCAAACGAGGAATTGATCTAGCGAGCAGGAGGACAGGGTTCCCGATGATGGAAGCTTGAGCCCTTTCATGCGCACGGCGGGCAAAACTTCCTCTGACGCCCTCAAAACTACAAGCCTCAGTTGCACTTGAAAGGGTCAGAGCCTGTGAACAGAGGTTTTTACACCCGAAATTCCTGAGAGCTGGAATTTTCCAGCTTAGATACTAGCTTTCGTGTCTCACGTACAAGTATCGCTTGCGGGTGCATCTGAAATGAAGTACGTGGAACAAAACGAAAAGCCACGGACAGGGTGTGGTCGCTTCAAAGTGCTGCAGGCATCGCTTCCGGAGCCCTAAAACTGCGCCGATTCAGTGATTTTGACAAACAGCACTGACTGGAATCCGTGGCGTCAGCAAGTTCGGGCTGAAGTAGCTTCAGAACGTGCAGAAACGCATGCCCATCTCTCGTTGAAGGGACTACCCTTTCAGCCGCTTGAGGCATCATATGCTCATATGTCCTTTTGCAGTCAAGCGCGCAAATGGAGGCACTGGCTCTATACAAGCATTCGGAATGTGTTCGTTAGGAGTTATGTCAAGAAGTTCTAGAAGGTTAATCTGGCTCATCGTAAGAAAGGGGCCAGCGGGGGTTCAGGGTGTAAGGTTTTAGGGTTTAGGGTCTTCAGGTTTAGGGGCTCCAAGCACTCCGCACTTCTTGCAAGTGTTCTGCTTCCCTTGAGCTTAAAATAAACTTTGCCTGCATTACCGTCGCAGTCCCAGATGAACAACATAGGGAAGCTTAATCAATGTGTTGCGCTGAAGAGCATGATTAACATGAAGTAGGCCTGGGATCCTTGCGAGAAGTGACGATGGCACACCCATCTCATCCTCAGCAGAACCGTACACGAAGCAATAGTCAAAGCAAACAAACGAAGCCTACAATCATGACTTGCGTGAAATGTAGTCCCAGGGGTTGGAGAGCATCATGTAAGGCGCTGGCAGGCCGCAGCGGGGGCTTCAACAGCTCAATCGGAGGATACTCCTGACATGTCTGTGGGACGATCATGCGTGGAAGGGCTTCTCAGGCTCAGAACAGTCCTCCGCTTCTTCTGGTGCCTCTTCGACGACGGCGCCGTCGTCATTGACGATCACTGCAGGCTTCTTGCCTTTTCATTCAGTTTACAAGCTGAAGTGAACCTATGGTTGCCCGAGCAAAGGTAATAAGCTTCCCCTTCGTCTGACCAGCTAGCTTATCTGAAATCTTTGACAGACCATTCATGGTGTTGGCTGCAATTGCGCAAGCGAGTGACAATTCTCTTCGAACTTGAAGCCTCCCAGGATCGTACCTGCCAATGCCGCACCCGAGAGTCTGGAACAGCATCTCATGCACTGAATCTGCTACTTGGCCTTCTTTCTTGAAGCCTTGGCCATAGCTTCACCAGTCAAGTTGAACGACAAGTGGCAGGCACTGCTGCGTAAGGGCTTCTGTTGGCATGAGAGTCCTGTCGCCATGCATATGGCTGGGTCCCTGGCAGGCGAGCGGTATGCAGGCCCAATTCTCGTATCGGCCAGATTCGTCTGAAGCAATTCAGCGAAATCACCGTTGGAATCCGAAGGATAAGTACCGTTCACGAGATGAGGGCACCACCATTTATCTGCATGCGGTTCACCTAAAGCAGCCATGGGGAGCTTCCAGCTGCCGTTTCAATGAATGTCATGCTGACGAGTACCAGCCCGAGCTGATTTCATAAGCCATCGACGCATTTCCAATGAAAGCCATTCCTTAAAAACAGAACGGATGTCCAGGCTCGCAGCTAAACGCCTGCTGTTTCAAGTCGCTCATGCGAGGAAACATGGACTGAAATTGACATGCTCTGTTGGAAACTTCGATGGTGCTCTTGGGCGAGTTTTGCCTGTCTAGTGCGAGTCTGACTTCGCATATAATGCACGTCTTTGCCCCGCCAATGCTGCATCAGACTTGAAAAGGGTCCCGGGCGGATTTGGGCTGGTTTCGTTTTCCTCTTTCGCATGCTTCTCGGAAGACTTGCTTCAGTATAACTTCGTGGGGTAAAAAGACTTACCCTTGTGTTAGCATCAGCCTTGCGATTTTGATAACACGCGATTTGCACAATAGAAACGCCGATTCACATACTGCCAGGATCGTATCCGCGCACTGAACAAATCATTGGCGGACATCCTTCCTGGCCGCATCCCCAACAAAGGAGAGCCGACGGTTTGGGGCCGTTTTGGGGTGAGCGTTGTAGTTCTTGCGTTTTCTAGGCCCTTCTTCCACAGCATCTGCAGAGAGCCCCAGAGGATCCCAGAGGGCAGGGAGAGCCCGAGAGGGCACGCTCAGATGGTCACCCACTTGACAGATTCCACCACACTTGCACCGTCTCACACCCGGTTGGATTTAGGCTCCAGGGATCTCCAGGGTTTCCGGCGAAATTTGGGGTTGCCTGGAGGTTCGGTATCTCAACCCGGGCCGCGCTTGCGCTTGTGCGCCAATCCCTGGTGCCAGCACCTGGCGTTTTCAGTGCATGAATTCTCCGCACTGCCGCGCGAATCCTCTTCCCCAAACCCAACATGTTATCATCCTAAAGGCTACACCCTAAAGCCCCAACCCTCAAACCCTAAACCCCACCTTGGAACCCGAATTCTAAATCCCAAGCTAACATGAATTCTCTGAGCCTGAAAAGAACCCTAGACCGCTACAACCCACCCGCTCGAAATCTTTCAAAATCCTGTTATAAGAGCAGATCAAAGCCAATACTGCTTGGCTTACGAAAAAAGAACATAGCTCTCTGCATCTTACAAGAACCTGTAAAGCCTTAGTATTCGAAGACATGGGCCCTAAAACCTAAACCTACTAAACGAATCCACAGCGACAAACCCCAAAAAAGCACCGAAAAGCTTGCCAGACCAGCGGCTGTAACCCGTCTTGCTTCCCTGAAGGAGCTGGTGCGCACGGCAAGTCAAAGCCCGAAGCAGGTAGATTCAGTAGATGAGCAATGGAAGCCTGAAAAGGGACTAGGAGATGGAGCGCAGGGGGGTTGTGGTGCATGGAACGGTGGTTCGATTGCACATTGGTGCTTGAATCGCCGGCGCTTGAGCCGCCTGCGTGCTTGAATTGCGCGAAATCAGGTCTTCTCTAAATCGGAGCCTCTCGCAATCGGAGGCCTGCTTGAATCGCTGATCCCCGAATTCGGGGCCAGTGCTCCAATCGCGGGTTTGCCCTTCCTTCTTTTTAGTGCGGAATTCTGCTGAAGTTCAATTCTCCTGTCTGGACGGCCAATCCATCTGGGCCGGTTTGTTGCACGGCAAACCCGCACATCTAGGGTACGGGCCTGTCGACAGCGAAAGCATAGTCGCCTCCTTTGCCTGCCATTCAGAATTCAACCGATTCTGCAGTAAAATGGTGTGCGAATTACAAGGTATGCAGCTGGGCCAATGTCAAAAGAAGGGAAACCCAGCAAGACTTTCTATCCGATCCCGCCTCTGTGTTTGTGTGTGCTGCTGTGTGTGCTTGTGCGTCTGGCGGGATTTGGAGTCTACGTCTGGCTCAGGACTGTCGTACACGATCGAGAACAGTTGCTAGTATCCCGTGGTCCGAGGTCCATTGCTACCGGTACTGGTTAAGAAAAGGGAGAGGGCAGCCCCCAAAAGAGCCGCAAGGAGCACAACGCATGCCGGGCTCTCTTCTGGCAACTTCGAGGCGGCAAAGCGGGTTGTGGCACAGGTTCTCCTTCAATCGACTCAGCAGAGATTGATAAAGGGGGACGCAATGGAAGTGCCTCTTTCATGATCATGGTGCTGACACCTGTGCATCACATGAAGTGATGCATTGCCAGCTACCCAGCCACTCCCTTTTTGGTGGAATGCATGTACACTTCAGGCGCGCGCCGACCGGAAATAAACCTTGGCATCAACGCGCCGACACCCCACGGCCCTCTCCGTGCAAGAGAAGAGACACCCGCAGGGCTTCGACCGGATGCATCTGAGGTGTGTGCCCTTCAGGTCTGGCTCCGGAGCCTTGGCTGCGAAGCAGACTTTCAGGGAAACTGACGCCAACGGGTGCTCGCTCCCGCCTCATGAGGGAAGTAATCCTGGTAGGTGGTGATTGCTTTGTCCACCGCCAGCTGGGTGGCTGCCCTGGTGCATGAAGTGCGAAGAACACTTCCCGTTGCGCTTCGTCAGACTAAGTTGAGTGCACGAAGTCCCGGTACAGGCTTCCCATTGTCTTGTTGTCGTCCTGAGGGCTTTTCGCTGGCTGCTTTTCTCTTCTCCTTGGTCCTAGGCAATCCAAGTTCCGGGCTCAGTACTCCCTAGTTCCGGTCTGACATGCTTTGGTCAAACTTGGGCCTATCTCTACTGGAACTGAGACTTTACATTTGGCAATGGCTGATGGATATCGAGGGATGCGAGGTTGTCTTCTCTTGCGAGAATCATGTATGTGGCTTGACTTGAGCCGCACCGGTGCAACATGCAATGAAGCCAACACGATGCGTGTCTTCTAGCTCTCCGACTTAAGCGATGCTGGCTTTGCTTCCAAATACTCGTCACACTTCAATCTAGTTGCTCCAGTTCAAGATAGGAGGTCCAAAGGCGGAAGCAAGAAGATGAAGAAAGGTAGCATTTGGGAGTTGTCCCTAGACATGAGCATCCCAGACCCTGAGCCGCCGCACGAGCGGTGCAGGCTGGAAAAAGCACTAGAGGCGGGCTTCTCCAAAGAACCGACCCACGAGCCTTTGCCACTGCCAAATCCGTGTCTTGCACAGACCTGGCATGACTCCGAACAGCAAAGCCGCTCAGCAACTATACCCCCTGTCAAAGCGGCACATACTTTCTGCATTTTTCATTTTTCGCATGTCGGTGGTAAGGAAACATTCGTGTCAAACGGAGAGAGCACATGTGCTGAAAATTGAGCTGGATGCATCATTGGCTTCAATTTGCAGCATCTCAGCTTCATGCTGCATTACAAGTCTCCGAGCTTGTCAAAAAACTTCGTCGCCCCTGGGGACCTACGGCCACACAATGGGCTCATTCGGTGACATGATAACGCAGTGCGGCTTGGGACCGTGTTCCTTCCAAAAGTCCTTCAAAGGCACAGCAGCAGCAAGCATCAACACACTCAAACCTAGCTGTACCGCAGTTTGCATCAAGGTTTAGGGCCTTTTGTATCAGGCCTGGTCGAGTTTTCTTATATATGAGGTCATAGAAGTACTGCATGGTCGAAACTTGCATGTATGTTGTTGTGATTTACACGACAACATGTTGTCGAAATATTGACCATCAATCCAGATTGCTGTTTCATCTACTCTTCAGGCTCTTTCATGGGTCGGATGTTCCCTCATCCTGTAGGGCTAACATGTGAGAGATAGAGACCTGCAGGCAGCACAACCGAAGACAAATCGGATGTGGACGGAGGAGTCTTCCTCGCTGCCTACTTCCCTGGCGTACACAGGCGGTCCTCGCCGAGCTTGGGCTTGTACTTCTCCTGCAGGGACAGAACTCTGGCTCTCACCTGCTGGCTCTGCGTGGAGGCTGGCAGTTCACGCCGCATCCCAGGCTCGTCAAGATTATCACATGCATCAAGACTAGGTGCGTTAAGTTGCGGCCTGCAAGTGCTGAGGGCACCAGCTTTCAAACGCCGGCAGGTCAACCACTTGAGGCTGAGCTGAACAGTATGGCCTTGCGCCAGGCTTCGCCAGGTATTGCTGGTGGTAGTCCTTGCAGGGGTCGGAAGATGCGGAGGTGGTGGCTAGGCGGGGATGCAGCCAGTTTTCTTTCGTAATTCAGCCCTGGAGTACCTCTGCATAGTAGAAAACCTTTCCATCTGGGAACGCGTTCGCTGAGATGATCTCCGTTGTGACTTGGCCACGCCCACGACCAGCTGACTGGAGTGCCGACTCGTAAGCCGCCTTGCTCGCCTCGAATATCTCTTTCTGCTCGTCGTTAAAGTAGTACAGGCCACTGCGGTACTGGGTGCCACGATCGTTGCCTCGCACTGCACTTCTTCTGCGAACGTGCTCCCTCTCCTAGTGACCTAGCGATCCTTACCGCACCGCCGTACCATTTCGACGACCTTTCCTGCCTTGTCCCATGCCTTGTGTGGGATCGTGTGCCTGCCAGAACCATCGCAGGATGTCGACAAGTCCAACCTTTTCGGGATCGAAGACCACCTGAACTGCCTCCGTCGAGCCTGTAAGGCCACTGCACGCTTCCTGGTAGTTGGGATTCGGCGTGAACCCAGCAGCATACCCTACAGCTGTTGAGATTACGCCTCCGCCAGGAAGCCTCCAAACACCCTTTTCGCTGCCCCAGAAGCAGCCGTTTGCAAACACAAACATGTCAGAGCCCTCGGGCCATGGGCCCTTCATCGGAGTTCCCAGAACGAAATGCTTCTCGGCAATTGGCATCTCTGATGGCCGACCAGTCAGTGCTTCGTCCTCGGCGATCATTCGAAGCATTCCTCCCATGGCCACCCGCGAGCTTTGGATGCCACGACTGCCACGAACATTCCGCCGTCGAGCCTGGACCGTGGCGACTGCGACTCCCGCCAAACAGGCACCCGCACCGGGAGCCGCAAAGCCGCCAGGTCCCCTAGGTGCTGTAGCCACCCTGGTGCTGTGCCTGCTAGCAACAGCTGCTGAAGAGGCCGCCCCCCCTCTAGCAACCAAGAACGCCAAGCTGTTCGTCGCCATGCCGGTTGTGTCTTAGTACTTTGAGCAACTGCGCAACGCTGCGAATCCTTGCCACGTCAACACGTGCGAAGGTAGACTCAAGCCAAACCCTCGGCATCTTCAGCAAGCTCGCAAGAGGCTCCAGGCAGGGGTGGCTGAAGGCAAAGCGGCAGTGTCCTTATCTGCAACGAAATAGGAGCCACATCGGTTTCGGTGGCTGGTCTTGTGCTGAGCTCCGTTCTGGGGTGGTGACGCCGAACCTGTCAACTCAAGGAAGCCTGTCTTCTCGAATCGCGTGCCAGCTTTGCAGACCTGATCCCAGCATCTGGCGATGGGTCCACCTTGTAGCGCAACCGGAACGGCAATCGGCACACAACCCTAAGAACTGTTCAGGGTGGCCCGCGTAGATTGTGCTCGTTGGTGTTGACATCGCTACCTCCTGAACCAAACTGCCGAGACCGACAGGACATGCACATGCCTGGTGACTACATCGTGTCTTGAAGCCGAGTGTCTTCCAGCTCAGCTCCGATTGGACGATTCGTCAAAATCCCTCTGCTGTTCAATTTTACTGCAATACCTTCCTTGTTCTCATCCACTGTGGCCGCCAAAGGTGGAAAGCTACATGACGCGATCTGCCCATGCAGCAGGGCGGCAGATCGCGGTTTTTTCGTGACGCGGCCTCGGCCTCGAGCTCGCTTTGGCTTCGCCGCACGGGGGGCGTTTCCATGGCTTTGGCACGGATCAAGTCGAAGTCCTCTGCGCGAATCAATGCAACACATGCAAGCTTCAGGCCACCTGCCTTGCGCAGCTTGCCCGACTCGATTTCGGCTGCCACCTACCAGCGGGCTTGATGTCTGGCGTCTGGCGTGCGAGGTTGACTGCGCGCACATCCAAGGCTGCAGCAGGGCTCCAAAGATCTCTCGAGATTTGAGCCTTCAGTCTGTGAATGGCTCTGCGTGCCAGCAAATACTGGTAGGATGCAAGTGCTTGGCCTCGCTTTCGAGCAGCTTGCGTGTTAACTGTGCCTCAGAAAAGTCCCCCCTCGGGTTTGGTCTTCTGTGGCGAAGATTTGAAAAACCACCATGAAAGAGCGCTTTGAATGTGTGTGCTTGACACAGATTTTATGCCCGCAAGTTCAATCCCCCGTGTCGTGCCTCTGCCAGTGCAGGGGAGATGTCGGAGGCGACCTGGGATAGGCACGCTATGTTTGTGGTGTGTGTGTGTCAACGGGTCAACAACCTGCGCAATGCATATCTTTGGCTCCTGGGCGTGGTAAGAGTTGCGGCGAGTCGTGTGTGCTATTGCCACGAAACATGATTCCATCAACACCGTAATGGCCTGTGATGCGTGACTTCTGCTTGACTGACTAGCCTAGTCCAAACCTTGCTCCGGTATGACTGAAGTTCTTCAGGTCTCGTGGCAGGCTGGTGGTTAAGACTCTCAAAGGGTGGAAAGAACTCCAGTGCTGCGATTCGATGTAACGGGGATTCTATGTTGTGTTTCATGAGAAAGTTCCAGACGTGGTCTAGGATTGTAGACATGCTCGCCCATCAAAGACAAACTACCACTTTCGTTCAATGGCGAGTTTGCGGTAGAGGAATGTAGAGGAGTATGGTTTGTGGCTGCGCAGAATCAGCTCCATAGTGTCCACTTTGCCAAGCTCAAACGCTTCTGTGCACAGGCTCCGACCCGACTGAGCCCTTTCCCTTCGTTTCGCGCTTTCCGTTTGACTTAAGCAGTCTAAGAGTTCGCTCGGCTGGGAAATGATGTGTCGTGATTTCCTTTCGGTTGCATAGATTTTCGGGCCCCATTCGTGAAATCCGTCTAATGCCTAAGTGGATGCCGCTTCGATGTCGATGTTGTTGCACAGTGCTTCCGTGGAACATGGACTGAGTTCGCCCATGGACAACAGACCTTGCATGAAGCCATCAGCAAACGTCGTGTGGCCTTGTCCCACAGGTCGGGCTCGGCAGTGCCAGCCTGCGCAAGGAATCGGCACGATGCAGCCGTGCTGGCACGACAATGCTGGTCGGATTAAATGCAAAATGCCTGGCCTCACTTGCAGCACTTGCCGTGAGGGAGGATTTGGTGAAAACCTAGATCGCATCCGCTTATGCTGCATCTATACTCAGATCTCCCGTGCTCCAGCATAGCATTGCGACGCACTGCATGCGTTTGGTATCAAGAATCAATACACAAACCTGGAGAGGATTCAACAGAAAGATCATGCAAGATGTGTTAAAGCTTTGGTGGATCCGGCTCCAGGTAAGGTTAAGTCATCGGGGGTTCGCCCACATCACCAACCCCGGCTCCACGAAGAACTGATCTTTGAGTTCTTCGACATTTGAGTGGGGAGGTGATGACTCATTCAGGACTCCTCAAGTGCCGCAGTGCTCATTTCGAAACCGCGCTCTCGAGGACCTTGGGGGACCTTCGCACTGCACGAAGCTTGTGGAAAAAACATTCCCGGTCGATAACCGACGATATCAGTGCCAGGCATATTTATGTTCAAGATCTCTCGCTCCTTATTCCGCCTGTCAATCTCCTGCACCCCAGCAATCAGTCCGATTACGCTTAAGGCCGCGTGATGACATGCCAGCCCCCGCAACGCTTCTCCTCCTCCACCTGAACAAAGTGCGATGTAAACTCAGGAACCACAAGAGTCCAGTCAAGCATCCGTGTCACGCATGCCATGAAGTTGGGCCTTTTGCAAATCTGCTTGGAAGTTTCTCCAGGCTTTGGTCATGTGCTCTTCTTGGTCAGGAGCAAGTCCACGGAAAAGGTGTGTGTAGTCCTCCTTCCTCGGGTGTTCATGCCTTCTTTATTGGTGAATCAGAAGAACTACCACAGCCATGCCAATGCCAAGCTACAGGAGCGGCTGTTGCATGGAGGTGAAGACATTGACGACCGACATGATCATGTGTTGGCGCGGCCTGAATGCATCTGTTTACAACAAGCATCCAACCCCTTTGACACTTCCGGGGCGGAGCCTTCCATATGGCTCTCCGGACTTCCAGGACATAGATGCCAAGCCTTGGGCAAGTACGTGCTGTACAATAAAATACAATATTCAATCAGCCTTAACTGTGCAGGAGTTCAATGCCAAGAAATCTTGCGTTGTCAAGTGTTGCGTGTCAATGTGAGATTCTGGGCGCACTCCTAGCAGTTGTGCGGCGAAGTCACCTGGATCTGCATAGTAGTCTCCAACAAAGCCGACATGACGATGGTAGCCGGTGACAATGAATATGTACACTGCCATTCCTGGGATGCGAGATTGAATCATCTTCCATACTTGGACTCTGTATACTGTACAATCGTCGAATGAATGTGTGGATCTTCCAGCGGCCTTGCCACATCAGCGGCCAGAAGCAGCAAATGCAGTCAGGAGTCTGTGCTGGATTAGTTTCAGGAACATGTCCGAGCAGTTAACCTTGCATCGACAAACCACTAGTCAGGTGCAGGAGAGACTTCAGTATTCGCTTTGCAAGGCCAGGCACGTCAGCAGAGAACTTCTTCACCCTTTCATCGATATGGTAGTGAGCCTGCCGGGATTAAGCGCACACCCTGTTTCCTTGCCATGCATGTTGAGCCGCCTAGGCCCAACACTTCTAGCTGGAGAAGCAGTAGCAGCAGCAGCAGCAGCAGCAGCAGGAGTGGTAGTAGTAGGAGTAGTAGTAGTAGTCGTCGTCGTAGTAGTAGTAGTAGTGGTAGTAGTATTAGGCGCCCCCCCTACCAACTGTACTTGCTCTTAACCAGGTTAAGACAACATCCATTTTACTACGCACTTTCGTCATGTAGGATTATCTTATGAAGCCTCAATCTCGCCTTGTCGAGTTTGCAAACTCGAGCTTCGGATATTGGACTTGCTTTTCTGGGAGGGGGGGTGTGGGGGGAGAGGGAGGGGATGATGACGACTTTGTTACGCAGACTCCCCGAACATGATCTCCAGAAGAGCCGTTTTACCCACCAAACCTACTTCTCGACTTTGCGACTTGACCTTGGGATTTCGGAGCGCTTCGGCAAAAACTCGAAATTGGGTGGGGGGAAGCTTTTTCGCGGACACCACGAATAATATATCTCCACACCCTAGCGCACACACCACACACCACTTCAAAAGCAAACCCTCCTATGCCGAGGTCTGGGCTCTAGGGGTGTTGGCGAGTCCCTCCCACGTGCAGCTCGCATCGCCTTCTTGGCAGTACCTGCATTTTGCACGGCATTTACACCGTTTTCCTACTGTTCGACCACCTGTCGTTTAGCAGTTTCTTCCCCGTTGAGTTTGCAAAATCTGCTGCTGTTTCAGTTCTGGGGCCTGAGCATCTGCGACTTCTGCAGCTGTCACACACAGGGAGCCCGAGCCCCTGCATCTTCAGCAGCTGTCGCAGTTAGGGAGCCCTGAAATAAGTGTAGTTGGAAGGGGGGGTGGCTAGTTGTAGCAGCAGTAGCAGTAGTAGCAGTAGCAGTAGCAAAGCTGCCATGAGCGGTCCAAGCCGAGAGTCGTCGTTTGAACCGGGGCCGGTTTAGGAACGTAAGCTCCCTAGAAGGCCGCGGGTCCTCAATCGCAACTGGCTGTAGTGCTCCCTGTAGGGGGGCTGTGCCATCGTTGTGTCAAAGCGACTGCATCCAGTGGAAAGACGTACAGATCTGCTGCTTTGATGTGGTGTCGTGAACGACGATAGCTCACGCTCATCCCGGTCCCAAGTCCGGGGGTGATGATGCAGAACGAGGACAAGCGAAGTGCAAACCATCACCGGCGCGAGGGTTGGTCCTCACCCTCCGGGGGACCTGAAGTCACTGGGGCTGCGGCTCCGGCGATGAAGCGAGGAGGGGACCATGAAGCAATTCCCAAAGAGGGCGGAGCTCATTTTTCCCGAATCAGAAAACGATCCTTCAAGCGTGCAATAAGACGTGCGCAGCTGCATGGAGAAACTATGTACAGAGGCAAAAGACTCATCTCGACCTCTCCGGTATTACCAGTATACCACTTGAGGCCTGAGGAGAGTGAAAGGCCAAGAATTCATTTCCTGTCTTGGAACGTGGGCGGGCTATCGGATGTTCTTTTCACGGAAACTTTGCAATGGCTGCAGAAACCTGGAAACCAGAGTATCAGTATTGTGATCCTCCAAGAAACACATTGGAGTTTCAGCGGAGATTGGTCCACCACGGACTGGCACTTTTGTCACTCTGCCACGAGCAGGAAGGGAAGTGGCGGAGTGCTGATTGGCATCAGGAGCTGTATGGCAAACGCGCAGCAGATCCGCTGGCATGAGGTGGAGCCAGGAAGGCTTCTTCAAGTACGCTGCTTTCTCGGATTGCAGCAGCTGGATATACTGGGATTCTATCAGCATGCATTGCTGCAGAAAGCGGGTCAAACGGATACCATTTTCGAGCAACGGAGAAAACTGCTCAACAAAATGGATAAGCTGCTCTCATCGCTTCCCGCAAGGTCCCAGATTGTTCTGGGAGGGGACTTCAATACAACGATGGCTCGGGAGTGTCGAGTGGCGGGCTTTGGCATTCAGTCCCGTGATCTGAATGAAAAAGAGCGTGCAGATCAGGATCATTTGGTACGAGTCCTGAAGCAGCATAACCTGGCTACGCTGAACACTTGGGGGAAAAAGACCAGAGCTGCAACGTATGTACATGCGAAGGGAAGTAGCCAGATCGACTTTGTCTGTGCCAGACAGGCAGTTGCGGATGGAGTTGCAAAGCAAACGTCACCAGTGCGCACGGAGTTAGCCGGATGGCGCACCACAGGACATTGGCCACTGCGTGGTTCTATACCACACAGGTGGACTCCATGGAGGACCAAGCAAAGCAGAGAGGGAGTGGGCACTGAGACTTCGGACACTGGTATGCTGCATGCGCTGGCGAACGCCGACCTGAACTATGAGCTGAGTGTGAAATGTCTCCGTGAGGCAGTTCAGGATGCTGGAGGGAATGCTCCTACGAAATTGGTCAAACCAGAACTGGCCCCTGTGACTGAAAGCATCAGACATTGCTGGAAGCTCCGGAGGAAGATGAGTGTATCTCAGACGCTACTTGGTGCGGGTTTGATGTTTGTTTTTCGTTACTTTAGGGTCCGACTCCAGTACATGAGGGCACACAGGGCACTCAAGAAAGCGCTCAGAGATAGGAAGAGGCAGAGGGTCCTTGCAATGCTTCAAGAGGCAGCTGGGCGCAATGATGTCCGGGAGATATTTGGTGTAGTGAAAATGCTCTGCCCGAGCAAGGCCCTTCCAAAGATTCGGCTTCGGGATGCCGAGGGGAATCTGATGAATGGGGCCTCCGAATGCAGGGCACTAGCGACTTATGCAAGAGAGTTGTTTTCGGCGCCGGACCAACCAGCGCTTGCTCTACTTCCGATTGTTCCGGAAACTTTGAACATCCAGCTATGGCACAAAGCGGCGAGCAAGCTCAAGGCGGAGAAGGCAGCGCCTCATCTGACACCACCACTCAGGAACTGGAAACAACATGCTGATCTTGTTGTCCCTGCGCTACACAAAATTGCAGCTAATCATCTTTGCCGCGCGGATCCAGATATTCCCAAAGAGTGGACAGAAGTGCAGCTGGCTTGGTTGGCAAAACCCCGCAAGTGTCCAAGCTCCCCGGCAAATCTACGAACAGTCGGGCTAATGGCTGGGGACACCAAGATGTTTATGTCTGTACTTAAGGAAGCCATAGCAGAGCCAGTTTTCTCGGCATTATGGGACGTTCCACAATTTGCGTATCGCAGTATGTCCAGTACCATTGACGCGCTGCTTAGGGGAAGTCACCATTGTCATCAGGTTCGTGCTCTGCTGGGAGAAGTGAACACGGATGTTACCACGCGGCTCATGACAGGCGAACTTCCTGGGTTGAGCGGGGGTTTGATGGTGAGCTTGGATCTGGCGAAAGCGTTTGATTGTGTTCCTTTTGGGATCATTTACGACAGCTTGAGGGAGATTGGGGTGACCGACGAACTGGCGAGATTGATTGTGGAAGTCCATAGACAGTCAACATGCGTAGTCAGACACTGTGGGCACAGCGAAAGGATCAGCATGAAACGGGGATTGCGCCAGGGATGTCCTCTGGCGCCCAGCGTGTTTGCTGCTTT